ATGACTGATATTACAGTAATTTTTAACTGATTTTCAGTTAAATTCTATTGATTCAAATCGCGAGAATAGAGTCACTTGATTCTCAGTCAAATTCAGATTTATAGAGAGTTGATTCAATAATTGTATGTAAAGATGCACACTAGAGCTGTGCAAAATTCGAACAGAACCGAGTTTTGTTCGGTTTTGGGGCAGTTATTTTTGAGCAGTAATAAATTAGCACAAACGCGCTGAAAAACATTTTTTTTTTCAATGTAATAGAAAATATTGGTTGTAGTGTTGCAGACACTAATTTTTTTCCCCTAAGAAGACGGACACAATAGACTTTTTTATGTCTATATACAAAGAAATGTATTGTATATTCAGGGTGGCCACAATTTCCCTGACAATTTACTGACATTAAAATTACTTTACCTGACAAAATTCTTTTTACAGGAATATATGAATGTTTACAGAAAATGGGTCGTAAAATTTATGAATTTGAATAATTTCTAAAAATTGCAATTATAGCCCTTCCTGAATTCAATTATTTTTTTTACAATTTTCAACTAAACTTCATCTCTGATTCATTTAATCTAGAATTCAATTATTCAAATACAAAAAGTCAATTTTTTATAATAATTGTAATTATATAAATATAATAGTTTTTCAATTTTGAATAATTTCTAAACAATTAAAATTTCCTAAAATTTTTTAAAAATAATTCAATTTTTGAAAAATATGAATAAAAATGATCAAATTTTTAAAGAATTTTAATTATAAACAGAACCATGATTTCTCAAAAATTTTATCTAGGCCTTCACATTGATAGAAAACTGCTATGGAACAAACACACATGCGAAATGAAGAAAATTGGTCTTGCTGCCATCTCAAATCTGAAGCCACTTCTGCAAAATCCTCACTTAGACTTGAACTGCAAAAGACTTATTCTCACATCTATCATCAGGCCTGCCGTGACCTACTGTATCACAACTTGGGGTGCACAGCAGCTAAAGTCCACATCGACAAAATTCAAGTAATCCAAAACAAAGGATGATCACTAATGCTCCATGGTTCGTCACAAATGAACAAAGTCGAAGATTGCCGACCAAGTGCTCGGCGCCCTCGTCTAATTGAAATATTGGACGTGGACCCCTTTTAAAAAATTATTTAACTCGCCAATCCTCAAGGACTCAACCAACTTCAATGTGAGACAACAAGGGTAAAGATGCATCCGCATCAACCTAATTTGTACATTAGAGATCACAGACGGACAGACCATGATATTTGACATATTCAACATAAGGACATAATACTTTTTTGCATTCTTTGTGTTATAATCGATATGAAAAACGAAATTTAAGATTGCAAAAACTTTAAAATAAATTATCTTCAACTTCATAAATGGAGATACCATTCTGAATAATTATGTTTGAGACAAAGAAAATTCTTTCGTAAAAAGTAATTGGTGGCCCTGAAAAGGGCCGTTTGTTTTCAATCATCCACTATCAACTTCTTTTCACTTTACTTCTTGGCAACCCTCTTTGCCGCGGGCTTCCTCGCCTTGGGTGCCGCAGCTTTCTTGGGCGAAGCTTTGGCCGCCTTCTTGGGAGCAGCCTTGGTCACCTTGGGTTTGGCGGTGGTGGACTTGGCCTTCGGTGGCTTGGCCGCAACCTTCGGGGTCTTCTTCTTCTCGGCGACGGCTTTCTTGGTCTTGGCTGCCACGGCCTTCTTCGGAGAAGCTGCTTTCTTGGCCTTTGGTGCTGCAGCAGCTTTGGGATTGGCGGCAGTCTTGGTCTTGGGCTTGGCTTTGGCCTTGCCCTCGGCCTTGGCGACGTTCAACTTGAAGGACCCTGCAGCGCCCTTGCCCTTGGTCTGGATCAGAGCCTTGCTGGCGACTGCAGCCTTCAGGTACTTTCTGATGAAGGGAGCCTGCTTCTCGACATCGACTTTGTAGGTGGCAGCGATGTACTTCTTGATGGCTTGGAGCGAAGAGCCGCCTCTCTCCTTCAAAGTGGCGATGGCCGCGTTCACCATCTCCGACGCTGGCGGGTGACTGGCCTTGGCGCGGGGCTTCTGCGCCTTGGCTGCTTTCTTCGGAGTTGCCACTGCAGGTGCAGCTGGGGATTCTACCTTGTCTGCCATTTTAGTAAAGTGGTTTTCGAAAAACTACAAAAAATGTTCAATAACTTGGAGATGCTTTCAACTCAAGCGTTCAAACAGTAATAAACACATTTCCCTGCGCTCGTCGACATAGTAAAACGCACGGACGGTGAAGAAAGACCCCAGCGCTCGTTGGCTTTCTCTCGTTTGAATTCTCGGTAACTTGGGTACACTATTCAAAATTTAGTTTAATTTTTTGATATTTATTTGTTCTTCCCCAGTTGCAAATAGATTAAATTTGAATTATACGATTATTCTAGTTTTTTAATATTAAGAAAAACATAACACTTTCATTGTGTTTTTCGGTAAAAATGAGCAATTTTCAAGACTCTGCTTTTAGTGATCATTCTCAACAAGTTCAGAAAATTATAAAAAAACAAGTAAACAAATTGAATTGTTTGAAAATTAACCTTCAAATTTAATGCTCTATTTATCTCCCTTTCTGAAAAGAAAACTTAGTTTACTTTGAGTGATAAATTGATGGAGGTACGGTTGCTTCATTTTGGGTATGAGTTCTTACTTTCAGCACATAATGCAGTGGGATAGAGTGCATTGTCTAGATCAATAATAAAAAATTTTTAATAATTTTTCAACATTATTTATGTATAATTTAAAAAATGCTTAGAATTTTTTACTGAGTCATAGAAATTTACTTTGAATGATTAATTTTAAAAAAGTCAAATATATGTTTTCGTGACGTATAACCTTATTATCATTTTTTCACTTTTTTGTATACCTGTTCTATGCTTGGAAAAAGTTCAAATTTTTTTTTAGTTTTTATACTTTGTACAATTAAAAAAAGTAGGTAAAAACCTTCCATTTATTATTTGAATGTTCAATAATTTTATAAATTTGTAAAAGAATAACTTTTATATTTAAAATAATTATGGCGACGGGCCAGTATAATATTTCACCAAGTTGAAGTCCACAAGGTTGTAGCTATTTATTATTTAAATTACTTTTTATATTTTATTTTTACTTTATCTCAGGGGTTCGTGGATTGCAAATTTTGAGCAAAAAGAAAAAAAAATAAAGACAAAATTAAATTCTGAACAAAATTACAAATTTTATTATATCGTTAGATTTTTGTGGATCGAAAATTACAAATTGATTTTTGATTTTTGTTCAATCATAAAAAAGGACACAGCTGATTTTACGGACAAACACACACATATATACTTTCGCTCCAAATCAAATAACTTGACGTTCCAAATTTTACAAATATTTTATTTTTAATTGAGTCTTGGACTTATCTTGTTTATGGCTAATTGGTGATGAGCAGCAAGCACGGAACCGGGAGAAATGGTTGACTTTTCCTTTCGTCGTTTACACAGAAATAATTAGCGGCACACCGCCTTCGTCTGGTGAATATGTTTTATGTCAAAAAAAAATAGAGGTCCGCCCTCTTCTCTCCCTATCCGCATTAAAGCCTTCGTACACCCACACCGAAACTATATAATATTTGAATGCAACATTATTAAACAACATTATTAAAAGCATTCTTTTATTTCACATTTATTTCGTAAATTGATACTCACCCCGTATCGGGTTTCTGCCTTCACCTCCAAGCACTCAAGCGAAAGTGATCACTCGAACGTTCTCTACTCTTATTCTCAAATTCGAATTTAGGCGAGAACGTCCGAGTGATCCCGAATTTTTTCATTACATATTTGAATAATCACACAAATTCTCACATATAAAATCCGTTACAAGGTTGATCAAAGAAAAAAATTGTTCACAAAGAAAATTAATTATAAATAACGCAGCCATATCGCCACAAAAATATTTATAAAAATAAATTCATGTTTATATTTTGATGATAATTGTTTTACATTTAATTTATAAACAATATTTAAATGTATTGAATAGATTTCTTTTGTTGATCAACGTCGTGGACTTCAACTTCATTATTTCAAGCCATATGATTTTACGCTGTTTATATATTTTCTAATATTATTGACAATGTAAATTACGTTTTACATCATGGAAATTTAGAAAGTAAAGAAATAGTTAATAAATTTGCTACTTGAATCCTAAATTGTGGAAAGAATTCAAATTTCAATTTTTCTTATTCAATTGTTTTTTATCTTTTATTTCATTGTTCTGAACAATTAGTCGTATTGATTAAATAATTTTTAGCTTTTTCAAAGAATAAAATTACTAAAAGATAAAAAAAAAGTTGAAGAATATTGTCTTTTCTCAAGTTGACTTTTGTCTATAAAATACCATAAGAACAATAAGGTATACTTTAATTTGTAGGACTACTTTAGAGAATCAAAAATATTTCAACGTAATAAAATGTGTTGGCCCTGAAAAGGGCCGATTGAGTTTTGAGAGTGGTAGGGAAATTTAAGCACGTTCTCCTCGGATGCGACGGGCCAACTGGATGTCCTTTGGCATGATGGTGACTCTCTTGGCGTGGATGGCGCACAAGTTGGTGTCTTCGAAGAGACCGACGAGGTAGGCCTCGCTGGCCTCCTGGAGGGCCATCACGGCGGAGCTCTGGAAGCGCAGGTCGGTCTTGAAGTCCTGAGCGATTTCACGGACCAAGCGTTGGAAGGGCAGTTTGCGGATGAGGAGCTCGGTGCTCTTCTGGTAGCGACGGATTTCACGGAGAGCGACGGTTCCGGGCCTATAGCGATGGGGCTTCTTCACTCCACCGGTTGCAGGCGCGCTCTTTCTCGCGGCCTTGGTGGCGAGTTGCTTCCTTGGTGCTTTACCACCGGTGGATTTGCGCGCGGTTTGCTTGGTACGAGCCATTGCTTAGAAGTTCAGAGTACGAGGGACAACTGAAAAATGGTTTTGGCGATATGAACGCACATATTTATAGGTTTGAGATTCTCCTGCACCGGTTAGTCAACGGGAAGGGGAAACTATCATCCTGATTGGTCGGTCAGATTGTGGAGGGGCGCAGTGTAACTCCAGAGGGAATAAAACAGCGCACTTTCGCCGGCTTAGCATCATTCCGAGTTTGTTCTCTGTTCTGTTTTGAACGTAAACTTTATTCTCTGCAAAAATGACTGGTCGTGGAAAGGGAGGAAAGGGATTGGGAAAAGGAGGAGCAAAACGCCATCGTAAAGTGTTGCGTGATAACATCCAAGGCATCACCAAGCCCGCCATCCGTCGTCTGGCTCGTCGTGGTGGAGTGAAGCGTATCTCAGGATTGATTTACGAAGAGACCCGTGGTGTCTTGAAAGTGTTCCTTGAGAACGTGATCCGTGACGCCGTCACTTACACAGAACACGCCAAGAGGAAGACCGTCACCGCCATGGACGTCGTCTATGCCCTCAAGCGTCAAGGCCGCACCCTGTACGGTTTCGGCGGTTAAATTCATCCATCATCATCATCATCAAAAAACAAACAATCGGCCCTTTTCAGGGCCACTAAATAGTTTTACGTTGGAATTTTTTTAGAAAGCATACTCACCTTATGCAATTAAAGAAATGCATTTTCAACTCGTACATTTCTATTGCATTTTAAAAATGGTTATAGAAGTTATTAGATTTGTGTAAATTTTTCATTTTGTTTATTTTATAATTTTTATTTCTTTTTTGTTTATCAGTTTTTGTATTAAAGGAGTCAAAAGAAATATTTCTTTTTTTATAATGATTCATATGCGGGGAACATTGTAATGGAATATTATACCTAGTTTTGCTTCAAACCTAACCTAAACGTATAAAATCAATAGAAATTATTCTTTGCTTTTATCAAAAATATATTTAAAATTTTTGTTTTAATGAAATTCTACTTTTTTAAAATAGTTTACATGTGTTCAGAGTTTTTATATCCGGAATGATAAATACCGTCTCTCTCCAATTTACACATGAATTTTTCTATACATTAGTCATCAGAACCTTTCACCTTGATAAGGCTATTTTAAATGTTATAAAGCATTCTCCATCTCTGGTTTATGGTTTTCTCTAATTTTTTAGCGAAATGCATATTTTCGGAATCTGAATAATTTATTTTAGTGTGCAACATATTTTTGGATTAGTCCATATGTATGATAAAATTTGTCGTCAAAGTGACTTTAAAACAAAATTACTTTTCCATTCCATTTTAGTAGATGCAAAGAAAAAATAATGAAACACAAGTTTTTAACTTATATTGTTTATTATTTTTCGTTTAATAAAATTTTAGTCATTTGTTCAATGATACAGATCGGTTCTGCAGTTATATATTTTGTTAGGGTACTAAAACCCTTATTCACATTACAAGCATACGTTTAGATACTTGTATTTTGATCCAATAATTATAATTAAATTTATCATATTCAAAATGTTATATTACAGTAAAAACAATTAGCATCATGAAACATTCTTTAATAATCAATTAAAATAGAAATCTACTTTTTTATTATAAAATATCACCATCTAGTGTTAGGACTCTAGAATCTAGAGACTTTTACATTTCCCTATTTGCCACACCTGCAGTTAAGACTTCACAATCGCGACAATCGCCAAGGGTCATAAAAACCTATTGTGAGAGAAAATTTCTTTCTGCATTTACATTGACTCCTAAAATAGTTGTCGATGATTTTTGAAGAAAAATAATAAAATAAAGGGACTGGAGGAATTTACTTGAAATCATTTTCTCAACATACCTGAAGTGTCATGTATTGTCAGTGATCTTGCCATATGCACTGGATCATTTGGAGACCAGAATGTGGGTGAAGCCAGAGGAAGTTCTGCTTGCCAATGCTTTCTGGTAAAATTTATTTACTTTTGTTGTTTGCATATTTATTTTATTTTAGAGAGAAAAACCGAACTTTACTCTCTAATGTTGATGGTTAAAAAACTAAAATGAGACGTTAAAGAGTAGGAAAAAGTATAATCATTATTAAATTCGCTTTTAGTCGCGTGTGATAATCTACGTACTTGATGGTATATAATATTTTTGTTTTCATTCCTATTGCAATTTTTTGTTTTGTTCATTTGTTTTTATTGACTATCTTCCTCGTTTATCTGCAATTAGTCAGAAATTAGTTCACGTGATTTTGTTATCTTCAATAATTCCCAATAATTCCAGAGCATTATTTCCTTTCCAATAATTCGTCAGAGCGTTAATTAAAGATTTTTTATTTTATTTTTTAAATCTGACGGACAGTCGAAACAAAAGTTAGTCCAATGTCATAATTTCTTGACGACAAATTAAATTTTTAATTAATTTTGCTAGAAGGGTACATTTGAATAAAAAGTACAATTTTTTTGTCAATAGGAAATTAAAAAATTAAAAGTTGCATTTGAATAAAAATTACAATTCTTTGTCAATAACAAATAATTTGTTAAATTAAAATATTTATCGTTAAATTTTAGGTTATGTTTACGAAACTCGTTTCTTATTCACCAAAAATTGTAATTTTTGTTCAAATACAACTTTAAATTGTTCGAAATGTTGAAAATTTAAGTCCGAAACGAATTTAAAATAATGTAGTAGAATTCATTAAGTTTACCAATAATGTTATCAATAAAAACCGATAATTACATATTTGTAAATGATTTAGGGTAACCGAACAGGAAAGTGTCTATTTTGTTCTGCAGCGGCGAAAGGGTCATGGAAAAACGAAGGGACTCACGTCAATTTTGGTGGGAACATTGGACAGTGTTTTCGATACAAAACCACCTCCTTTCCGAATTCTTCATCAAACACCGTCTTCCGAAGTTTATTGGGGTAAAAAAAATTTAACTAAATTATAAAAATCGAACCCGAATAATTTTTTCTTTTCTTTGCTTTTTAGTGGTCGCATGTTCCTTGACGAGGGATGAAATTGTACAAGACTGGAAATGGCTTCATGAAAATTTAATGGACACTTTAAAATCTTTCGAAAATAGCGAAGATGACATAACGGATTTTGTATGTTGTAAAATTCAGTCGATTATTGCAAATAAAGTGCCAGATTGTCAATTTGCTGATGGTAAACACATTCGATTCAACTTTATTAGTTTTATACTCAACGTATATTCAATTTTAATTTTGTAATAAAAAAATAATTAATTTTTTTCTTTTATTCCACAGAAGATGATCCACAAACATTTAAGACAGTTTCATTTAAATTCCATCGGCTTTTTAATCTTCCAGTTGACGATAAACTTGTAAATTATTATTCATGCAGGTGAGTTAAAATCATAATATCTATAATAATACGCGAATAAGTATAATTCAATTATTATCTAAAATTTTAACTAAGATTCATTTTTAAATCAAAATTTTTTAATAAAAAATTGTACGAAAATTCCATTGTTTAAATAAAAAAATAATGAATTTATTTAATAATTGAATGTTTCTGAAAATTGAATTCTCATGGTTGCCACACAACCTGGAAAACCTGGAAAACCTGGAAATAGCATGGAATTTGAAAAAGAGTATGGAAAACCTGGAAATAGCATGGAATTTGAACAAATTTCTGGAATTTTTTTTTTTGGTTAGTGAAAGATATTAAGAAAAATTCCATTCAACATGTTATTTTTTTTAAAAATGTTAACATACAATTTTCCTTTTCCATGTTATCTTCTCTTTAAATTAATTTAATTTTTCTTTTTAATTATTGACTAAAACTGTGAAAAATGTTGTTAAGATTGTTCTAAAAAAAGGAATTTATATCTTTATTAGTATTACGATTGTCAAAATTTTTTGATACTAGTTGTTTTTTGTTCAAGATTTTGAACAACGTTTAAAGATAAAAATTATTTAATTTAGAATTGACTTGAATGTTCTAATTATGACTGATTCTTCTGAATTTATGCAATAACTAAAATAATTTCATCTCCAAAGTCTTTTTAACATTTCTCCAATAGGAATTTTATAAGAAAACTAAATTTTTATGGTTTTTTTTCAAATTCTTAGAAATTTTTTAAAAATAGTGCCAGAAAATACAATGTTTTTTCTATCATTATGTGTATTTTAAAAATTTTTGGACCTCCGTTTTATATGTGATAAAAATGTTTAAATTTTGTCTTCAATTTAAGTTAAAATTACATCATGATGATTAATGATGTTTTTATACATTAAAAATATTCTAAAAAAAATTTTAATGCACATTAAAATAAAGTTAAAGATCTGATGTTTAATTTTTGTATATATATTATTTATAAAAAGGAGGAATATTATTGCTTTTATAAATATTCAAATTTTACTTATCGGCCCTAGTAAAATTCAAAGAAGAAAGACTTTAATATTTTCAAATTAATTTTGCGCAATTTAAATTCTTACTCTTGAGTATGAAATAAAGTAGTTTCAATAAAAAAAACCATATAATTTAAAAAAAATAAATTAAAAAATCGAATATCAAAAGTAGCACTTTCAGAAAAATTACCCTTATATAGGTAAGTGAGTATTATTGTCTCACTTTGACATAAAAATGCCTGTGATTTTAACTGTTTAAGGGGGCATTAATTTATAACTACATAATAATGAATATTGTTAACACTGTTTTGTAAAATACTTGTTTTTTCATCACAAATAATTCCTAAATTTTAACCTGGAATTTTTAATATTTTTGACCTGGAAAACCTGGAAAAAGCCTGGAATTTTGAAATCTAGATTTTGTGGCAACCATGAATTTCTCACAAAAACTTTTATCGACAAACTTTTAATATTAATTGAATTGATTTTTTAGAAAAAAGTTTATACAAATTCTATTTTAAATAATTGAATTACTTAATAATAATTATTTATTAATTCCTGTAAAATTATTATTACTTATGAAAATAATTGAATATTTTCGTAGAATTTTGTTAAATTTTTTTTTTAAATAATTGAATTCTTTTGGGAAATTTTATTAAAATAGTGTAGATATTGAAAATCATTGAATTGAAAACAATTTTTGAAAATTATTGAAACTTTGCATAGAATTTTATTAAAATTTTGGAAAATAATTGAATTTTGGAGAAGAATTTTGCTATTTATAAAGATAATTGAAATCTTGAGGAAGTAAAAAAAGTTTTCAAAATAATTGAATTTCAGCGAAAAATTTTATTGCTTTTGAAAATAATTGAATTCTCGTGATGAATATTGTTATTTATGAAAATAATTGAAGTTTGGAAAGAATTTTATTGAAATAACTGAAAATAATTGAATTTATGACAAGAATTTCGTTATTTATCAAGATAATTGAATTCTTTCGAAGAATTGCGTTAAAAATTTTTGAAATAATTCAGCAGATTTGAAATTAAAAATTTTCAAAAAAATTAGTTGAACATAATTGTTAATTAAAAATATTAAAAATTCAGATTTTCAATGATTTTAATTTGAAACTTCTTTGAAATTCAATTATTTCTAATAATTTCTATTATTTGTTACTTCTCCAAAATTTAATTTCTTTTACAGTTTGTAACTAAAATTTTTCTATAAATTGATTATTTTTCACAACTAACTAAATATTTATTAAAAAATTCAACTAATTTTAGATGAATTTAAATTATTAAAATTTACCAAAATTCTAATTTCTTTAGAATTTTTAATATAGATTCATTTAAAATTGAAATTTTCTAAAATTTCCAATGGAAACCTATTGAAGTTGATCTATTTATGAAAATTGTAAACGCAACTCTTTTAAAATTCAACTAATTTCGAAATATTTAAGTAAAATTATTCATTAAATAATTTATAGGTAATAATTTTATGATATAGTTCTATTCAAGAATTAAGTTCTTTAGAAAGAAATTATTGTCAGAAATAGAAAAATTTGAATGGTTTTGAATTAGAATTCGTGGTAATTTCAAAGTTTTAAGACAAACAGAAAAGAGGCAAAAATTCAGAATTTTGTTATGAATCCTATGAAAATTTAATTTTTTTACAGTACTTTTAATAAAATTCCCTGACTTTCCTCTGAATTCACTAATTTCCCTAATTTTGTGGCAACCTTGAATAATAATAAAAAAATAATTTTTCTAATGTAAATTCTATTCGGATAATTTTTAGTTATTGGAAATCACGATTACCAAGGCAAGGATGGCTTTATTTGTCAGTGCATCATATGTGCTTTTACGCTTATATATTGGCGAAAGAAACAAAATTAATCATCAGATGGGCGGATATCGTTGAGTTGAATAAAACAAATTCGCTCGTATTTCCTGATAGCATTCGTGTTGTAACACGAGATTCCAAAGAGGTACGGAAAAATTAGAAAATCACTGAATTTTCGAAAAAGAAAAAGGTTTTTTCGGAAAAAGTTAAAAAAAAATGTCAATAATTAACAGAAAAAGTTTAACAAAAAGAAATTTGATTTTAAAAGCAGTTATGAGAAGAAGTTAATAATAATATTTAAAATGAATTTTATGCGCTATAATTAAATAAATCTTAAAGCAATACAATATATAAACAATAATAAAATATGACTAACTAAGAATATTTTTGCAGCATTATTTTTCCATGTTTTTACATAAATCAGAAACGTATTCTTTAATGGAACAATTGACGAATATCGCAATGAAACGGTGAGACACTTTTGTTTACATATTACTTAATTAATATTTATAAAATATGTCACTATTATAATTCATTATTTTTTTCAGACTCATTGATGAGAAAAGTGGTTTTAATCAAGACAGAGAACTTCTAAATAAATTAAGGTACTTTCGATTCAATTATTATTTTTAAGAATTTAAAACTAAAATTCTTCGATTATTTTTTGAAATTTTCCAAAAAGTTCTTTGACAATTTTCAAATTCATTTCTTTACAATATTCAATCTTACGAAATTTCAATTATTCGTAAATTCTTTAATTAAATAAATATTAGAAAATAGAAACTAAAAATAATATTAAAAAAACTCAATTAAACTTTTTCATAAAAATTAATTACAAAATTCAATTCTTTTTTAAAATTCACGCTCTATTGCATTTAATATTCAATTATTATCTAAAATTTTAACTGAAATTTATTTTTATGAAATGAAAATCAATTTTTATTAGAAAATTCTACTAGAATTCAATTATTTAAATACAAATTTAAATGCAAAAATGCAAATAAATAATTTATTGAATAATTGAACGTTTCTTAAAATTCAATTCCCAAAAAAATCGTTATAAAGAAATTTTCAAATAATTGAATTCTATCAACGAATTTTAATAAAATTTTTAAGAATAATTACATTTTTCGAGAAATTCGATTAAAAATGTATTAAAAATAAATAAAATAATTGAAATTCTGCATCGAATTTTATTGTTCATGAAAATAATTGAATTCTTGCGAAGAATTTTATTAAAATTTTCAAAATAAAGAAAATTCTTGTAAAAAATTAACAGGAATTCAATTATTTTTTAAAATTTTAATAAAATTCTTGGCATAAATTAAAAATAACAAAATTCTTAGCAGATCTTCAATTACTTTCAGAAATTTTAATACAATTTTTCGCAAGACTTTAAATATTTTAGTAAAATAAATAAAAATCTTTGCAAAGATTCAATTATTTTCAAAAGTCTTAATAAAAAATTCTTCGCAAGAATTCAATTATTTTCAAAAATATCAGAATTTTAGCAGAAATTCAAACATTTTAAAAAGTTTTGATAAACCTTTTTTTTGGTAGAAATTCAATTATTTTTAAGACAATTTAAAAAAAATGTCTCAATAAAATTCAATTATCTTTAAAATTTTAATGAAATTCTTCGAAAGAATTCAATTATTGTAATCTAAGATTTTAACTCAAATCTATTTTTAAATCAATGTTTATGAGATAATTCTACCAGAATTCAATTATTTAAATACAAAAATAAATAATTTATTGAATAATTGAATGTTTCTTGGAATTCAATTCCTATTAAAAATGTTATCAACATATTTTTAAATAATTAAATTCTTTGGACGAATTTTAATAAAATTTTTAAGAATTTTTTCGAGGAATTCGATTAAAATTCTATTGAAAATAATTGAATTCCTAAAAAGAATTTTATTATTTACGAAAATAATTGAATCCCCGTAATAATTTTATTATTTATGAGAATAGTTGAATGATGGCGAAGAAATTTATAAAAAAAAATTTGTTATTAATGAATTCTTGTGAAATTTTTATTATTTTTTGAAAATAATTAAAAGTTTTTGTAGAATTTTATAAAAATTTTTTTTTGAAATAATTAAATTCTTTTGGTAAATTTTATGAAAATAGTAGATATTGAGCAATATTTAATTTTTGCGAAGAACATTATTACTTTTGAAAATAATTGAAATTTTGCAATGGATTTTATTAAGATTTTTGAAAATAATTGTATTTTGTCGAAGAATTTTTCTATTTATTTATAAAGATAATTGAGATGTTGACCATTTTTTTTTTTAGATTTTTTGAAAATAATTGAATTTCGAAGAAGAATTTTAATATTTCTAAAGATAATTGAAATTTTGACGAGAATTGTTAAAAAATTTTGAAAATAATTGAATTTCTGCGAAGAATTTTCTTGCTTTTGAAAATAATTGAAATTTTGCAATGGATTTTATTAAAATTGGTGAAAATAATTGAATTTTATTACTTTAGAAAATAATTGAATTCGTGTGATAAATATTGTTAATTATGAAAATAATTGACATTTTGTAATGAATTTTAATAAAATTTTTGAAAATAATTGAATTTTGTCTAATAAATTCAATTCTTTTTAAACATTTTAATAAAACTTTTTGCAATAATTCAATTTCTTTCCTAAATAAAAAAATTCTTCTCAGGAATTCAATTATTTTTGAAAATTTTAATAACATTCTTAGCAACTATTCAAATAATTTTCAGAAATAATAAAATTCATCTAAGGATTTTAATTACTTTTAGTACTATTTGAAATTAATTAATTGAATAATGTTATTATTCTTAAAAATTTGATTTCAATTCCTCGAAAAAAGCAATTATTTAAAACAACGTGTTTTTAAAATTCTTTGAAAGAATTCAATTATTTACGAAAATATTAGAATCTTTTACAGGAATTCAATTCTTTTCAAATATTTTAATAAAATTGTTTGTAAGAAATCAATTATTTTAAATACAATTTTAATTAAATTTTTTTGAAATAATTTAATTATTCTTTGAGATTTTAATAAAATTCTTCCCAAGAATTCAATTATTTACGTATAAATAATTCTTCGAATGAATTCAATTATTAAAGATAAATAACAAAATTTTTCCCGAAAATTTAATTTTTTTTTAAGGCATTTTAATAAAATTCTTTGCAAAATTCAATTATTTTCATAAATAACATTATTTATCACAAGAATTCAATTATTTAAAAAAAAAAATTTCTTGGAAATTCAATTATTTTAGAAAAATCTAATAAAATCCTTCGTAAGAATTCATTTAATTCTTTTCATGAATGATACAAATTTCTTAGGAATTTAATTATTTAAATTATAATTTGCATAAAATTAGTCGAAAAAAAAAATTATTTAAAAAAATGTTATAAAATTCTTTTCAAGAATTAAATTATTTTTATAAATATTTAAATTCTTTCAAGAATAATAAAATTCGTTGTAGAAAATCCTGTTAAAATATCTTAGGTAGAGAGAATAAGAGAGTTTATACTTATACGAAATTTTTTTTTATTTATGTCAGCAAAAATGTGCCTAAAAAGCCATCATTCCTGAAGAGGGACCTGGACGCGAGGGCCCACTCCGAGGCCTATAGATTGCAATTCAGATTGCCGGGAAACGAGAAATTGGACGGATGTGTAGACGCTACTTTATGGACACCCTACAACAAGAGACACGTCTGGGGCAAAATATTTCTATCCCAAAATTATTTTTGCTTCGAAAGTAGAGTGAGTTAATTTCTTTTATACATTGCTAAGATATAATTATTTAATCTATTATCCTGGGTTTCGAGCCCCAGAAGAATTAGTCCCCCATTTTTTCATAGTTTTAAATTTATTTTTCAATAATTATTTAATTTAAAATTGTTACTTCTTTTATAATTATTTGATTGTATATATAAAGAAAGTAGAAAAGTTGAAGCTTATAATTTACGCCGCATTTGTATTAAATTTTATAATAAAATTTCCGTATAGGTAAAACGAGAAGTGAGTTTGGTGATTCCATTAAGAGACGTGAAACGAACAGAAACTGCCGACAATCAATCATCAAATACGTCAGTGGACAAATCAATTCTCATCACGACAAATTCCAATTCATTTCTATTTTCGCAAATTCTTGACAGGGATTTTGTCATGCAAAAGATTCGAGAGTTACTTGGAAAAACGTGTCAGCCGTAAGTTTTTATTTCATTGTTCTTTATATTCCCTTATATTTTGTTTATCTTACTTTCAAACTTTTTAATCACTGCAGGCTTTGCACTCGATAATTAATTTTGAAAAAGTAGTAAAAAAAAAAAACAATTGAAAAATTAAATTTGACGACTAGAAAAAAAACACGTTTTAAACACGATTCACAAAAATTTGATTCTGCATTTTATTTCCACTTTTTTGTTTCAAATTTCATCAAAAATTTTTACATTTTTTCTTATACTGATAATAACTTCGATTGTAAATTTTTATAAAATTCAATAATTTTCTAAATTTAATTTAAAATTCTTAAAAAATACGATTATACATTATTAAAAATAATTTTTAAAAGTATAAAAAAAAATTCTTGAAAACATATAAAATTTATTTTATAATAAAATAATTTTTAAATTAAATTCTTTGAAAATGTAACAGAAACGAAAGTATAAAAATTTCGATAAAATTTCACAAAAGAATTCAATTATTTAAAAGAAAATATTATTAAAATACTTCACAAGAATTCAATTATTTTCAAAAGTAATAAAATTCTTTGCAGAAATTTAATTATGGTAAAGAATTAGTAAAAAAATTCTCGGCAAAATTTCAATTATCTTTATAAATAATAAAATTTTTCTAAGAAATTCAATTATTTTCAAAAAATTTAATAAAATTCTTTGCCAATTTTCTCAATTCAATGATTTTTAATATCTACTACTTTAATAAAATTTCCCAAAAGAATTCAATTATTTAAAAATAATTTTAATATAATTCTATGCAAATATTTAATTAATTTCATAAATAATAAAAATTTTATAGAAATTCAATTATTTTTGAAAATTTTAATAAAATTCTTTGCAACTATTCAATTATTTTCAGAAATAATAAAATTTATCGCAGGATTTCAATTATTTTTAATGCAATTTTAATCAAATTTCTTGAAAAATGTAATTATTTCTTAAAAAATTTATTATAATTCTTCAAAAGAATTCAATTCTAAAAAAAATTCAATTTTTCAATTAATTATTTATTTTTCTATTTAAATAATTGAATTCTCGTAGAATTTTTTAATAAAAATGTATTTAGAAACAAATTAATTTCAGTTAAAATTTTAAATAATAAGTGAATATTAAACTTTCTAAATTTGAATTTGCAAAAATATTTACATACTAATTTGAATTAGTGACTGACTTCTTGCTTTTGAAAGCAAATTGTAGTGCAAAAAAAAAACTTAAAATTTTCTGCTGAAATTCAGTTATTATGAAATTTTTTTAAAATCCTCAAGATTTCAATTATTTTCATACATAGCCAAATTCATCTCTAAAATTCAATTATTTTTTAAAATTTTAATAAAATTCTTTGCAAAAATTTCAGTTATTTTCAAAAAATTTTCTCAATTCAATCATTTTCAATATCTGTTATTTTAAAAAAATTTTCTAAAAGTATTCAATTATTTAAAAAAAAAGTTTTAATGAAATTTTACATAAACATTCAATTATTTTCATAAGTAATAATAATTTTACAGGAATTAATAAATAATTATTATTAAATAATTCAATTATTTAAAATAGAATTTGTATACATTTTTTATAAAAAATCAATTCATTAAAAATTTTTTGTACAATTATTCGCAATAAATCATTTTTTTCATAAATATTAAAATTATTTTTAGGGATTCAATAATTTTTATAAATATTAAAATTATTTTTAAAGATTAAATTATTTTCATAAATAATAAAATTGATACCAGAATCAAAACTTTCAATTATCTTTAAAAATAATAAAATTCTTCTCTAAAATTCAATTACTTAACAAAAATTTTCTCAATTCAATGAATTTTAATATCTATTATTTCAATAAAGTTTTTCAAAAGAATTCAATTAATTAAAAAAAATTTTAATAAAATTTTGGACACGGATTCAATTATTTTCATAATCAATAAAATTCTTTTTAGAAATTCAATATTATTGTCATAAATAATAAAACTCATCGTAGAATTTCAATTATTTTTAATACAATTTTAATCAAATTCCTCGAAAAATATTTTATTAAAATTCGTGGAAAGAATTTAATTAGTATTAAAAATTTGTGGATAATAGTTTTTATGAGAATTCAATTTTCAGAAACATTCAATTATTCAATAAATTCATTATTTTTTTATTTTATTTTTTTATTTTATTATTTTTTATTTTAGTTAAAATTTTAGAAAATAATTGAAACATTATAACATCACTTTTTAAAAATACTTTAATTTTGAAAAGGTTTCAAATGAAAATCTTTGAAAATCTGAATTTTTCATACTTTTATAACTAACAATTCAAAAAAATTTCAATTATCTTTAAAATTTTTTAAAATTTTTCTCCTAAATTCAATTATTTTCATAAATTTTAATAAATATCTTGGCGAAATTCAAATTATTCTCAAAAAGTTTCCTGAATTCAATGATTTTCAATATTTACTATTTTAATGAAATGTTGAAATAGAGTTCAATTATTAACCTAAAAAAAAAATTTAATAAAATTGTACTCAAACATTTAATTATTTTCATAAATAATAAAACTCATCGTAGAATTTCAATTATTTGTAATACAATTTTAATCCGATTTCTCGAAAAATGTAATAATTGTTCTTTAAAATTTCATTCAAATTCGTCTAAAGATTTCAATTATTTAAGAATTTGTTGATAAAATTCTTTATATAAATTAAATTTTAAGAAACATTCAATATTATTCAATAACTTATTTTTGTATTTAAATAATTGAATTCTCGTAGAATTTTCTAATAAAAATTGATTTTCATTTCATAAAAATGAATTCCAGTTAAAATTTTAGATTATAATTGAATTTTTGAGAAGTTACTAATAATTGAATTTTGTAAAGGTTTCAAATTAAAATCTTTAAAAATCTGAATTCTTCATACTTTTAATTAAAATTTCTGTGTAATTAATTTTTTTCAAAAGTCGAAATTTTTTTTTGTAATTATTTCAAATTTTTATTTTCTAATGTATATTTAATTGAAGGATTTCCGAATAGTCGAAATTTCACGTAAAATTGAAATATAAACAAATGGATTTAAAAATTGAAAGAAGATTTGAAAAAAAGAAGAACTTTTTCAAAAGTTATTAAAAATAATAATTGATTTATAGAAAAATTTATTTAAAAATTGTAGAAAATAATAATTGAATAGAAATGATGAAAATAATTTTGAAGAAGTTACAGTAACAATATTTTTATAATATAAAATAATTTTTTTTTTCATTTCTGTTATATTTTAATTAAATTATAAAACATAAAGATAAGGATCACTCTGAGTCTTCGACTCGGAGTTAGGTATCGATATCTTCATGTTTTATAATAATAAATATTCTTAGAAGTTGTTGAATTTCAAAAAGTTTGAGATAAATGAATTTGAAATTTTTGAAAATCTTAATTTTATCGGAAAATAATAATGAATTTATTTAAAAACGAATTTTTCTGTGTTTAAATTTTTAGAGTAAATCAGAATATTCTTTAGAGTCAGGGAAAAAAGTAAGAATATTGTCTGAAAATAAGGAAAAAAGTCAGAAGAAAAGAAAATAAAATTTTTTTGGCAACCCTGATTGATGATGAAAATTTACAATAATGATTTTTGTTCTAGTGTTGCTACTGTGCTGGTGAAAGCAACAACGTCATCAAGTGGCTGCGCAGTGACGGTCGAAGAGATGCCGGTGGAAATATGGACTTGTCAGCCACCACTGATGACGCTTTTTAAGGCGCCATTGAGTGCAGAAGCTACGATCAAGCAACAGGCAAAGGAGAAACAGTGGGAGCTTCATTTCGCCGAATATGGACGAGGAGTGACAATATACCGGACCGTGGAGACGGCGAAACTCGTGATACAGGGCGTACCACAGGCTCTTCGTGGCGAAGTCTGGCTAACGTTCTCAGGTGCAATTAATGAAATGGCGATGAATCCAGGACTCTATAAATCACTCGTGGATCAATCGCTCGGCAAATCATGCCAGGCGAATGACGAAATCGAACGCGATCTGCACAGATCACTGCCCGAACATCCTGCCTTTCAATCGGACACTGGTATCAGCGCTTTGCGGCGGGTACTCTCGGCGTATGCCTGGAGGAATCCTCAAATCGGTAAACTTCGCAATCGTTTCTTTCATTCTTTCATTCATTCACTTTTTCTGTCCCTTACACTCTGAAGTTGTCTTCTATTTATATTTTTGTTTTTGTTATCTTTAGATAAATTGTATATTATAATATTACTAGAAAATTTTACGCGCGGAACGTGATATTCAATTTATTATTGTTATGCAAATTACAAATATTTTTAATCTTCAAAAATAAATTTTTTAAATAATTTCATAATCAAAATTTAAAAAATTCACTTATTATAAGTACAAAATTAATTATTACTGTTCATATTTTCTAAAATTTTAATAAATCTTTCGAAAAAATTCAATTATTTTAATAAAAATAATAAAATTCTTCACAAGAATTAAATTATTTTTAATCAAATTTAAATAAAATTACATGAAAGAATTTAATTATTTTCAAAAATTTCCATAAAATGCAATTTCAACAAGTATTTAAAATTCTCTAAAAATAATTAAATTATTCTCAAAATATTTTTAAAAAATTTTATATAAAAATTAAATTACTTTCAATGCAATTTTTAAATACATTCATCAAAAAAATTGAAAGAATTCAATTACATATTTTCAAAAAAGTAATAAAATTCTTGTGAAGAATTCAATGATTTTGAATATACATATAATTTTAATAAAATTCTTTAAAGAAATTCCATTATTTTCGAAAAAATTTCATTATTTTCAAATATTTCTATAAAATTCTTCATAACAATTGAATTATTTCTTAAAATTTTTAAAAATCCTCGCGAAACATTTTAATTATTTTTTATAATTAGTACAATCTTTCTAAACAATATTCAATTATTTTTTTCAATAGTAAAATCTTTACAAAAATCCAATGATTTTTTTAAATCAATTTTAATTAAATTCCTCGGATGAATTCAAATATTTTTAAATATTTCCATAAATTTCAATTATGTCTAAAAATTTTAATAAATTCTTCCAAACAATTTTTATAAATATTAGTAAAATTCTCCGCAAGAATTCAATTCACTTTTAATAAAATTCTTCTTCATAAAATTCAAATGCTTTCAAAATTTTCAATTAAAATTATTAAAGAAACTCCATTAGTTTAAAAAAAAATTCAAAGGAATTCTTCAAAAGAATTTAATTAGGATTTTAAAAAATTTTAATAAAATTCTTTGTGAGAATTCAGTTATTTTATTTCCTAAATAATAAAATTCTTTGAAGGAATAAAATTCTATTATCATCAAATTTTTGTATAAAATTCTTTGCAACAATTCAATGATTTTCAATATATTAATTTTAAAATTGAAAATATTTGAAAAGAAAAATTATAAAAAAGTTAAAAAAAATGCAATTTTTTTTGCATTATTTTTGTTTATGAATCACAATTTTTTTAAAAAAATTATTATTTTGTTTTAGAAAAAGAAGAAAAATATTTGCAAAATTCCTATTTTTTTTAATCTTATTTTTGGAACATGATTTTTCACAGGAATTAAGACATTCAAAAATTTCGAATTCAAACCTTTTTTAAATTAAACAACTTATAAAAGCATTTTTTATAATATATAATTGAAGATGAGCAAGTAATAAAATCATTATTTTATATTATTATAAGATGTGAAATTTTTATTATTTATGAAAATAATTAAATGTTTGCATACAATTTTATTAATATTTTTTTTAAATAATTAAATTTTTTAGGGGAAATTTTTAAAAAATATTAAATATTGAAAATCATTGAAATTAGAAAAATGCATTTTATTTTTGAAAACAATTGATATTAGGACAAGAATTTTTTTGACATTTAGGAAAATAATTAAACTTTGGAGAAAAATTTTGTTACATATAAAGATAATTGGGATTTTTACAAATTTTTTTTTAAATTTTGTACATAGTTAAATTTTATAAGAAGAATTTTATTTATTTTTTTTAAATAGTTGAATTTCTGCAATTATTTGTAATTTCTCTAAAATTGAATTTTTTTTATTTTCAACAAAAATTTGAATTAGAAAGTTTTCAAATTCTATTATTTTTGAAATTGCTAATTTTATTTAAAAAAAGGCAGTAAGAAGTTAGCCGCGCGAATTGTTGCTAGTTTATTTTAAATTCGCTAATACTAAAAATCAAAAAACTATTCTCAAAAATTGCAAATAAAATTCTTTAAAACGATTCAATTATTTTCGAAAAATATTCAAAATTCAATTATTTTCAAAAAATATTCCAAATTCAATTACTTTCAATATCTAGTATGTATTTTCATAAATTTTTGCAAAAGAATTCAATTATTAAAAAAAAAAAAAAATTGATAAAATTCATCTAAAATTATTTTCATAATTATTATAAAAATTTTTTTAACGGGAATTCAATTAATTGAGAATAGCATTTTCAAAAAAATTTCGAAAAAATCAATTATTTAACAAAATTTTAATACAATTCTTTGAAATAATTCAATTACTTTCACTAATAATAACATTATTCATATCATGGAAATTCAATTTAAAAAAAAAATTTTTTTTTGATCAAATTCGAAGCAAGCATTCAATTATTTTTATAAATAAAAAAACTAATTGCAGGATTTCAATTATTTTTAATAACATTTTTAATTAATCGAAAAATTCAATTATTTTCACAAATAACGTTTTCCAGAAGATATTCGAAAATTCTTCTCAAAAATTCAATTATTTTCAGGAATTTTAATAAAATTCTTTGCAAAATTCAATTATTTTCATAAATAAACTTCAAAAATAGATAATAAAAATTTTTCGCTGAAATTCAATTATATTTAAAAATTAAAAAAAAATTCTTCTCAAAATTTCAATTATCTTTATAAATAGCAAAATTCTTCTCCAAAATTCAATTATTTTCCAAAATTTTAATAAAATTCTATGCAAAGTTTCAATAATTTTCAAAAATTGTTTTCAATTCAATGATTTTCAATATCTTCAGTATTTTAATAAAATTTCCCAAAAGAATTCAATTATTTAAAAAAAATTTAATAAAGTTCTACGAAAATATTCAATTATTTTCATATGTAATAATAATTTTACAGGAATTAATAAATAATTATTATTAAGTAATTCAATTATTTAAAATAGAATTTGTATAAATTTTTTTCTGAAAAATCAATTCATTAAAAATTTTTTGTACAATTCTTCACAATAATTCAATTACTTTCACTATAATAATACCATTATTCATGGAAATTCAATTTTTTTAAACAAATTTTTGATAAAATTCTAAGCAAGCATTCAATTATTTTCATAAATAGAAAAATTTTTCCTAAGGAATTCAATTATTTTTGAAAATTTTAATAAAATTCCTCGAAAATTGTAATTAAAATTAAAATTTTTTTTTCGGATTTTTAGAAAAATTCTTATTTAATGTTCTAGAATTTTTAACTAAATTTATACTCAAAACTAAAAATTTCTCAAATTATTTAAATATAATTGAATTATTTTTATAAATAACACATTTATCGATGGAATTTAATTATTATCAATACAATTTTTATAAAATTTCTCAAATGAATTTAATTATTGTAAAGAGTTTTAATAATATTGAATAATATTTTTTAATAAGAAATCAATTACTTTGAATACAATTTTAATTAATTTCCTAGAAAGAATTTTTATTTTCTTCACTAGAATTCAATAATTTTCAAAACTTTTAATAAAATTCTTCGTAGAAATTTAATTATTTGCAAACATTAATAAAATTGTTCAATTATTTTTCAAAAATAATAAAATTCTTCACAGAAATTTAATTATTTTCAAAATTTATTAAAATTCTTTACATCAATTCAATTATTTTTAAAAATTAATAAAATGCTTAACAGGAATTCAATTTTTTTTCAGATATTAATAAAATTCTTCGTAAGAATTAAATTATATTCAAAACGTTTAATGAAATTCTTCGCAGGAATTTAATTATTTTGAAGATTTTTAATAACATTTCACGTAGAAATTTAATTATTCTCAAAAAATAACAAAATTCATCGCAGGATTTTAGTTATTTTTAATTCAATTTTACAGGAATTGCACAAAAAAACTTAATTATTCTTAAAAATTTATTTTCAATTCCTCGAAAAAATAAATTATTTGAAAAAAATACTTTTTTTAAATTCTGCAGAAGAATTTCAGTTATTTACAAAAATATTAGAATTTTTCACAGAAATTCAATGATTTTCAAATATTTTAATAAAATTGTTCAAAAAATAAATCAATTATTTTAAATTTGAATTGTAATTGAATTTTTATGAAATAATTCAATTATTCTTTTCGATTTTAATAAAATTCTTCCCAAGAATACAATTATTCACACAAATAATTCTTCAAAATAATTCAATTACTTTCACTAATAATATATAACAATTTTCATGGAAAAATTTTTTTAATAAGATTCTAAGCAAGAATTCATTTATTTTCATGAATAATAAAACTCATCCGAGAATTTCAATTATTTTTAATTCTTTTTTAAATTAATTAATCGAAAAATTCAATTATTTTCACAAATAAAGTTTTTCAGAAGAATTGAATTATTTAATGTAAAATTTTCATAATATTTATTATATTTCAAAAAAATTAATTACTTAAAACAATGTTCATAAAATTCTTATGAAGAAATCAATTATTTTCATAAATAACAATATTTTTCACAGGAATTCAATTTTTTAAATAATTTTTAATAAAATTTTTCGCAGTAATTCAATTATATTCAAATATTTTAATAAAATTGTTGTAAAGAAGTCAATTATTTTAAATACAATTTTAATTAAATTTTTTTTTAAGTATTTCAAATATTCTTTTGGATTTTAATGAAATTCTTCCCAAGAATTCAATTATTTACATAAAAATAATTCTTCGAAAGAATTCAATTATTAAAGATAAATTAAAAAATAATTATTCCCGAAAATTCAATTATTTTTAGGGATTGTAATAAAATTTTTTGCAAAATTCAATTATTTTCATAAATAAACAATATTTATCACAAATATTCAATTATTTTCAAAGGAAATACATTTTTTCTTGGAAATTCAATTACTTTAAAAATTCTAATAAAATCGTTCGTAAGAATTCAATTATTGTCAAAAATTTTAATAGAATTCTTTGTAAAATTTAATTATTTTAAAAAACTTTTTGCAATTTAATGATTTTCAATAACTACTATTTTTATAAAATTTCCAAACAGAATTCAATTATTAAAAAAAATGTTTGTAAATATCTTCGTAAGAATTCAATTATTTTCATAAATACTAATTTCTGAGGAATTGAATTATTTAAATTAGAATTTGCATAAAATTAGTCGAAAGAAATGAATTATTAAAAAATTTTTTATAAAATTCTTCTGCAAGAATTAAATTATTTTTATAAATATTTAAATTCTTCGATGAATAATAAAATTCGTTGGAGGAATTCAATTTATTAGCGTAGGATAAGAAAGAAGTAAATATTTTTGATGAAAATTAGGAAAAAGTCAGGAAAGTAAAAAATATGGAATGGAATTTTTGTCAGTTGTGTGAACTTTTTTTGGTCGTCAAGTTTAATTTTTCGATAGCTACTTTTTTACTACTATTTTTAGTTTTGAAAGCAACTTTTTGCTATTTATTGAAAATTAATTATCGAGTGATGCGAAGTCTGTGATTTTGTTTTTCGCAACGTTCACAGGATATTGTCAGGCGATGAACATTGTGGCGTCGGTGCTTTTGATTTACTGCTCAGAGGAGGCGGCATTCTGGCAACTGTGCATTGTTTGCGAATCATTGTTGCCAGATTACTATGATAGACGAGTGGTGGGCGCCCTGGTGGATCAGGGCCTTCTAGAGGAGCTTGCAGCCGAATATCTGCCGACCCTTCACGCTCGACTCCAAGAACTCGGACTTATTCGTGTCATTTCCTTGTCATGGTTCCTGACAATTTTTCTCAGCGTCATGCCAACAAGTAGTGCGGTGAATATTATGGATTGCTTCTTCTATGACGGGGCAAAAGTGATTTTCCAGGTTCGTTGCGAAAGCATCTAAATATATTTATTATTTGCGGGAAAAAAAAATTAATTCTTTCTCGTAGATTGCTCTTACGGTCCTTGAGTGGAACCAGGAGAAATTGCTCAACTGTCGTGACGATGGAGAAGCTATGCAATTATTGACCGATTATCTCGGTGGAGTATTCAATGATGAGGGACCAGTATTACCGAAACCAGTGGACAGTGGAACTCCAAATCGGGTTATTACTTATAAATCAATTAATGAAATATTTTTTTGAAAAATTTTAATTTCAATTCCGTTGAAATTAGATTCAATTCAATTATTTTCAAAAATTAAAAAAAAAATCTTGTCATCATTTCAATTATCTTTATGAATAGCAAAATTTTTCGCCAAAATTCAATTATATTCAGGAATTTTTATAAAATTCATTGAAAAATATAATTATTTTCATAAATAATAACAAACAGGGCTCGAAGTATGTCCGTAAATCCTGAAAAAGTCCGTAGCTTTGCTTCAAGTCCGTAAAAGTCCGTTTTTTTGAAAAAAGGTCCGTAAAGTCCGTAATTTCATTCAAAAAGGATAAAAAGTTCGTTAATTGTACGATATAATTTGGAGAATTTTAGAGAAATTACAAATCATTGCAGAAATTCAAATATTTTTAAAAGTAATAAAATTCTTCGCAAAAATTCAATTATGTTCAAACATTTTTTTAAATTCTCGTCAAAATTTCAATTATCTTTAAAAATATTAAAATTCTTCTTCGAAATTCGATTATTTTCAAAAAATCTAAAAAACATTGTCAACATTTCAATTATCTTTATAAATAAATAGCAAAATTCTTCGACAAAATTTAATTATTTTCAAAAATTTTATTAAACTTCATTACAAAATTTCAATTATTTTTATAATTAACAATATTTTTCACACGAATTCAATTATTTTCTAAAGTAATAAAATTCAATTTTTTTCAAAAATTTTAATAAAATCCATTGCAAAATTTCAATTATTTTCAAAAGTAATAAAATTCTTCTCCAAAATTCAATTATGTTCAAAATTTTTTTAACAATTCTCGTCAAAATTTCAATTATCTTTAGAAATATTAAAATTCTTCTCCGAAATTCAATTATTTTCAAAAAATCTAAAAAAAAAAAAATGGTCAACATCTCAATTATCTTTATAAATAAATAGCAAAATTCTTCGACAAAATTCAGTTGTTTTCAAAAATTTCAATAAAATCCATTGCAAAATTTCAATTATTTTCAAAAGTAATAATATTCTTCGCAAAAATTAAATATTGTTCAATATCTATTATTTTCATAAAATTTACCAAAAGAATTTAATTATTTACATAAAAAAAAAATTTAATAAAATTCTACAAAAACTTTTAATTATTTTCAAAAAATAGTAAAAATTTCACAAGAATTTCATTAATAACAAATTTTTTTTTATAAATTTCTTCGCAATCATTCAACTATTTTCATAAATAATAAAATTTTTACGGGGATTCAATTATTTTCGTAAATAATAAAATTCTTTTTAGGAATTCAATTATTTTCAATAGAATTTTAATAGAATTCCTCGAAAAAATTCTTAAAAATTTTATTAAAATTCGTCCAAAGAATTTAATTATTTAAAAATATGTTGATAACATTTTTAATAGGAATTGAATTCCAAGAAACATTCAATTATTCAATAAATTATTTATTTGCATTTTTACATTTAAATTTGTATTTAAATAATTGAATTCTGGTAGAATTTTCTCATAAACATTGATTTAAAAATAGATTTCAGTTAAAATCTTAGATTATAATAATTGGATTCTTTCGAAGAATTTCATTAGAATTTTAAAAATAATTGAATTTTATTGAGACATTTTTTTTAATTGTCTTAAAAATAATTGAATTTCTATCAAAAAAAGTGTTATCAAAACTTTTTAAAATGTTTGAATTTCTGTTAAAATTCTGATATTTTTGAAAATAATTGCATTCTTGCGAAGAATTTTATTAAGACTTTTGAAAATAATTGAATGTTTGCAAAGATTTTTATTTTTTTTTACGAAAATATTTAAATTCTTGAGAAAAATTTTATTAAAATTTCTGAAAGTAATTGAAGATCTGCTAAGAGTTTTGTTATTTTTAATTTATGTCAAGAATTTTATTAAAATTTTTAAAAATAATTGAATTCCTGTTAATTTTTTACAAGAATTTAATTTATTTTGAAAATTTTAATAAAATTCTTCGCAAGAATTCAATTATTTTCATAAATAATAAAACTCATCGTAGAATTTCAATTATTTTTAATACAATTTTAATCGAATTTCTCGAAAAATGTAATTATTCTTAAAAATTTTATTAAAATTCGTTGATAGAATTCAATTATTTGAAAATTTGTCGATAACGATTTTTTATGGGAATTGAATTTTAAGAAACGTTCAATTATCCAATAAATTATTTATTTGCATTTTTACATTTAAATTTGTATTTAAATAATTGAATTCTAGTAGAATTTTCTAATAAAAATTGATTTTCATTTCATAAAAATGAATTTCAGTTAAAATTTTAGATAATAATAATTGAATATTAAATGCAATAGAGCGTGAATTTTTAAAAAATAATTGGATTTTTTAATTAATCTTTTTGAAAAAGTTTTGAGTTTTTTTAATATTATTTTTAGTTTCTATTTTCTAATAATTATTTAATTAAAGAATTTACGAATAATTGAAATTTCTTAAATTTGAATATTGAAATTTAATTAAAATAATGGATACATACAAATTATTGAATTAAGAAAATTTGTTGAAGATTACTGAAATTTTGCATTGAATTTTATTAAAATTTTTGAAAATAATGTAATTCTATTTACTTTTAAAAATAATTGAATTCTTGTTGATGAATATTGTTATTTATATGAAAATAATTGATTTCCTTCGAATGATTTTTATTTTTTATGAAAATAAAATTAAATCACTGAGAAGAATTTTGAAATTTATGAAAATAATTGAATTACTGCGAAGAATTTAATGACAAATAAAATTTGATTTTTTCGAAAAAATTTATGAAAAATCTATTTTCAATAATTGAATTTCTGTGGAATTTTTATTTTGTTTTGGAAAATAATATTGAATGTTCGTGTAGAATATTATCAAAATTTTTGTTTAATAATTGAATTTTTTTTTGGGAAATTTTATTAAAATAGTGGAATATTGAAAATCATTGAATGAAGAAAAATTTTTGATGATAATTGAATTTTTGATATGAATTTATCTGATTTTATTAAAATTTTTGAAAATAATTGAAATTTATTATCTTTGAAAATAAAATAAAATTCTTGTGATGAATACTATTATTTATGAAAATAATTGAAGTTTGCAATGAATTTTATTAAAATTCTTGAAAATAAATGAATTTTGCTATTCATTTATAAAGATAATTGAAATGTTGCCAATTGTTTTCTAGGTTTTTTTTTTTTGAAAATAATTGAATTTCTGCGAAGAATTTTATTAACTTTGAAAATAATTTAATTCCTATAAAGAATTCAATGACTTTTGGTAAATAATTTAATTCCTGTGAAGTGAATTTAATTCTTGCGATGAATATTGTTATTTAGGAAAATAATTGAATTAAAAAATGAAAAATGTGATGTATTGGGTTTTTGCAGAGTATTTCCGTGCAGACGCTAATATTCGAGGCGTATTCACGATACGGTTCGTTGACGATCGGCGGGATCGAGAGACTGCGTTTGAAGCACCGATTGAAAGTGGTGCAGAGTCTCGAGGATGGCATTGAGAAGAACGTGATTAGAAGTGTGATAAGCGACAAATACTTGACGTTGGAGGAACTCCAGGAATTGTTGTCATTAGTTAGGGAGGAATTGATGAGTCAGAGGAAAAATGAGCCAGATCGTTACGATCCAACACAACCGCCCTACGAGGCGTACAAAATTGATTACGAATTGTTTCGAATATTGTTCGGTGGCTTGTCGCCATGGGGCAAATGTTCACAGGCTGAATCGCTCTCCGCACGATTGTTTCGAGTAAGAAACACTTTTGCCATTTTTAAAATTTTTAAATTTAAATTTTTTTTTTTTTTATTTATTTTATTTAACCCTCTGCCATTGCTATAACAAAAAATTTTGTTATTACTGACAAAAATCGTGAAAAGTGGTCGAATTTATCTCTTAATTTTTGTTTACCTCTTAAATTACCTTAAACTGTAGAGGGTTGATTAAAATTAAGAATTAAAATCTAACCGTTGTTCTAAATTTAAGCTAATGGATCGCAATCGTGACGGACAACTGAATTTCCGAGAAGTTGTGCAGGCGATTGGATTAACAGCGACCGCGGATCAAACGCAACGATTGAAATTACTGTACACTCTTCATTTGCCTCCACTATTGTCGCCAGTGGATTTTGAATCGCCAACGCATTCCTCAGGTACGAATTCGATTTTGTTTTGTAATTTTGTGATAATTTCCTCAGAGAAATTTATCCATTTGTTTACAATTCAATTTTACGTGAAATTTCGATCGTTCAGAAAATTCTTCAAATTATCATTAGAAAATAAAACTTGCAGTAATTTTAAAAAATTTCGATTAATCTTTTTGGAAAAAATTAGTTGCATAGAATTTTTAATTAAAAATATGAAAAAAATCAGATTTTCAAAGATTTTAATTTTGAAACCTTTACAAAATTCAATTATTTCTAAAAATTTCAATTATTAGTAATTTCTCAAAAATTCAATTATTATCTAAACTTTTTAACTGAAATTCATTTTTATGAAATGAAAATCAATTTTTATTAGAAAATTCTACGAGAATTCAATTATTTCAATACAAAAATCAATATTTCATTGAATAATTGAATGTTTCTTAAAATTTAATTTATATAAAGAATTTTATCAACAAATTCTTAAATAATTGAAATCTTTGGACGAATTTGAATGAAATTTTTAAGAATAATTACATTTTTCAGATGAATTCGATTAAAATTGTATTAAAAATAACTGAAATTCTGCAAGAGCTTTATTATTTATAAAAATAATGAAATTATTGCGAAGAATTTTATGGAAGAATTTATTTTTTGAAAATAATTCAATTCCTATAAAGAATTCAATTATTTTTAGTAAATAATTTAATTCCTGTGAAGAATTTTATGGAAAGTTTTTAAATAATTGAAATCCTGCTAAGAATTTTAATAATTTTTGAAAATAATTTAATTCCTCTAAAGATTTTATTAATTTTTTAAAAATATTCAATTTTCTGCGAAGAATTTTATTGTTTTGTTTTAAATAATTGAAATTCTGCGAAGAATTTTAATAAATTTTGCAAATAATTGAATTTCTACGAAGAATTTTATTAAAAGTTTTGAAAATAATTGAATTTTTGCGAAGAAAATTGTAATTCTTTCTAGAAAATCAGTTAAAATTGTATTCAAAGTAATTTATTTCTTATTAAAAAATAGTATTAATATTATAAATTTTTTTTTTAAATAATTTAATTTATTTGAGAAATTTTATTCAAATTGTATTGAAAATAATTGGATTATATTTAAATAATTTGAGAAATTATTAAAGTTTTGAGTATAATTTTAGTTGACAATTCTAGAAAACTACATAATAATTTATCTAAAAAAACGGAAAAAAATTCAAATCTTAATAACATTCTTATAGAATAATTACATTTTTCGAGGAATTCGATTAAAATTCTATTAAAAACAATTGAAATTCTACAATGAATTTTATTATAATTATGAAAATAATTCAATTATTGCGAACATTTTTATAAAAAAGTTTTAAGATATATGTTTTTTTAAATTCATGCAAATTCTATTTTTAATAATTAAATTCCTGTAAAATTTCCATTAGTTTAGAAAATAATTGAAAATTCGTGTAAAACTTCGTCAAAATTGTTTTAAAAATAAAATTTTTGTATATTATTTGAATTTTATTACTTTTGAAAATAATTGAATTCTTGTGATGAATTTTATTAAACTTTCTAAAAATAATTAAAATGTTGACAATTTTTTTAAAATAATTAAATTCTTATGATGAATATTATTATTTATGAAAATAATTGACATTCTCTAAATGATTTTATTATTTTTGAAAATAATTAAATCCCTGAAAAGAATTTTTAAATTTATGAAAATAATTGAATTACTGCGTGGCTTCCGTTTCCGGTACCGTTTCGGTGTACACGCGTTTGGAAAGAGTTAAGATTTTTTTGAGAAATTTAAAGGTTTTAAAAAGGGTGGGTAGTGCAGAGTGTTGAGTGTGTAGTGTAATTGGCGATAGTGTAAAGGAAAAGTATGTTTGTATAGAGTAGTGAATGTATGAGTGATAAAAAAGGTAAAAAAGAAAAGTGTGTTTTGTGAGGTTAGGTTGCTTGAAGTGAGAGAGAGGAGAGAGAGACAGTGGAAAAATTTTGAGCATTGGAGTGATAAGGTAGATTTCTGGAATGGCTGAGTTTGACTCAAGTGGTGTTAGCGAGAATGAGGAAAAGGCGCGAGTATTTGAAAGGGGGATAGGAAAGAATGGAAAAAAGATGACGTGTGAGGATTGCATGGATTTGTTGGAATTAGTATGGATGTTGAAGGATGCGATGGATGAAGGAGCTAAAAGAGTGAAGGGAAATTTGATGGATATGTATGAGGATGGGGAATCAAGGGACAAAGAGATAGTGGAAATTGAAGAGAGGTTGGAGAAATTGCAGGAAATGTGGAATGAATGGGATAGTAAGTGGAAAAAGGAAAAGGAAAGCATGTGGAGAAGAATGAATGGATTGGAAAAATTTATAAAGGAAGTGAATGAGGGGACTGAGAAAGTTGAGGGAAGTGAATATGAGAGATTAAAGTGGAAAATGGGAGATTTGTCAAGACGAGTGGATGTAGTAGAAAATGAAAAAAGGAAAAAGAATGTAGTGATCAGAGGTATGAATGTAGGTGTGTTGGAGGGTAAAAGAGCAGTGGAAAAAGTGTTGGCGTGGGTGGGGGTTAATGTCTCAGTGAAAATGGTACAAGCGTTAGGAAGGGGTGAATATGGGGTACCAAAGTTATGGTTGGTGGAGTTGGGTAGTGAGGAAGAGAAAATGGAGGTGATGAGGGTGAAAGGAAGACTGAAAGGAAGTGTAATAAGAATAGATGAGGATAGATGTTGGAGAGAGAGAAGAATGTTATGGCTATTGAGAGAAAGAGCGTGGACGGAGAGAGTGAATGGAAAACAGGTAAGAATGGGTAAAGATTGTATTTGGGTGGATGGGGTAAAGTATGTTGTGAGGGAGGATACGGGTGGAGGGATGGAAGCGTGTAAAGTGTGATAGACACGGATAGGCTGAGAATGAGGTGAGAAGATTTTGCTTGGATGGATAGATGTATGGGTAAAAGTGGATGACTGGAGGATGTAAGAGAGGCGAGAAAGGAGTAGAAGGTTTTTGAAAAAGGGTGGGCGAATTGGGTCGAAGCCAGCATGGGCATAGAAGGAACTGGAAACGGAAGCCCGGCACTGGCGATAGGTTTAGAGCGTAAGGTTGAGAGCGTGGAGAGAGTTGAGTTTAGGTTAAGTTGTATTTAGAGAATGTTTAGTTGTAAGGATTTTTGTAAATATAGGTTAAGATTATTATGTATGTATTTGGGAGTCTCGAACCCTACCTATTGTAGGGAGAGTAAATAAACTAATAAATTGAATTACTGCGTAGAATTTAATGATAAATTTTAAAACATTTGATTTTTTCGAAAAAATTTATGTAAATTCTATTGAATTTCTGTGAAATTTTTTTTTTTTTTTTTTTTTTGAAAATAATTGAATGTTCGTGTAGAAATTTATCAAAATTTTTGTTTAATAATTGAATTCTTTTGGGAAATTTTATTAAAATGAAATATTGAAAATCATTGAATGAAGAAAAATTTTTGATAATAATTGAAATTTTGCCATGAATTTAATGAAAATTTCTGTAAATAATTGAATTTTATTATTTTTCAAAATAATTGAATTCTTGTGATGAATAATAAAAATTTATGAAAATAATTAAATTTTGCAACGAATTTTATTAAAATTTCTGAAAATAATTAAATGTTGTCGAAGAATTTTGCTATTCGTTTATAAAGATAATTGAAATGTTGACTAGGATTTTTTTTAGATTTTTTTTTGAAAATAATTGAATTTCTGCGAAGAATTTTATTAATTTTGAAAATTGAAGATAATTGCGAATTCTTGTGCGATGAATATTGTTATTTATGAAAATAATTGAATTTTATTAAAAAATTCCTGCGAATATAATTTAATTCAGGCGAAGAATTTTTCTATTTATAAAGATAATTGAAAGGTTGACAAGAATTTATTAAAAAATTTTTGAGAATAATCAAATTCTAAAAAAAAGAGGATTTTACATTGAAGATGGCGCAGAAGTTGCAGCGGAGGCGACGGACTTTTTCGACAGTATGGAGAAGAGTGCGGCCGCCTCTCTTGAAATTCCAGTGAGTTTAGCTGACGAATTGGCCTCCGGTGAATTGTCACGATCAACCAGTTGCAACAGTCAAGCCGATCAATCGTGGGAAGTGCAAAGTATGGGCAGTTTTCGTTCAATGATCGCGTCGAAAGATGGGTTTCTCGATTTAAAAACTGTGCCAAAAATGTCGCAAAGACATTTCATTGCTATGATGAAAACTCTGTATGAAATGTTTCACGCTCAGCCGGACGAAGCCGACACTATTTGCCTCGCAAAAATCGGTAGGTTTTTATTTTATCTTTCAACTTTTCTATATTTAGTTTTAATTTTTCAATATTTAGTTTAGGATCTCAAAATATTAAATCAAATTCAAGTTTTCAATATTTATCACTATTAATAAAACAAGTTTTTTTTTAATCTTTAACTCAACTTTTGAAATTATTTTCATCATTTCAATTCAATTTTTATTATTTTCTAAAAATGTTTTAAAAAATTATAAGTTTTAAAAAAAGTTCTTTGTGAATTTTCAAACCTATTTGTTTTCAAATTTTTAGTGAAATTACGATTATTCGGAAATTCTTCAATTAAATATTTCTTAGAAAATAACAACTTGAAATAATTTCAAAAAGATTCAATTAAACTTTTCAAAGAAATTAATTATACAGAATTGTTAGTAAAAAGTATTAAAACTTCAGATTTTCCAAAGATTTTAATATGAAACATTTTCAAATTTCAATTATCTCAACAAAAAAAAAATTCCCCTTATAATACTTTTACTATTCAATTATTATCTAAAGTTATAACTGAAATTAATTTTTAAATCAATTGTTTTTAGAAAATTCTACGAGAATTAAATTTATTTAAATACAAAAATAAATAATTTATTGATTAATTGAATGTTTCTTAAAATTGAATTCGCATAAAGAATTTAATCAACAAATTTTCAAATAATTGAATTTTATCAACGAATTTTAATAACAATTTTAAGAATATTAATAAAGTTGAAATTATCGATCACTCAGAGTCAGGAGTGATCGAACCTGACTCGGAGTGATCGATAATTTTAACTTTATTATTATAAATTTGCCGAGTGATAGCTTCAATTATTATTTAATTTTAAGAATAATTACAGCTTTTGAGGAATTTGATAAAATTGTATTAAAAATAATTGAATTTCTAAAAAGAATTTTATTATTTATGAAAATAATTGAATCCCTATAAAAATAATTGAATTATTGCGAAGAAATTTATTAAAAATTTGTCCACAATTAAATTCCTGCAAAATTTTTAGTAATTTATGAAAATAATTAAATGCTTGCGTAGAATTTTATAAAAATTTTTGAAAATTATTGAATTCTTTTGGAAAATTTATTTAAAATAGTAGATATTGAAAATCATTGAATTGAGGAAAATTTTATTTATTTATAAACGGGCAATTTTTGAACGGCTACTATTCCTGAAAGTAATTGAATTGTTGCCAGGAATTTTATCAAAATTTTTAAAAATAATTGAACAACGGAGAAAAATTTTATTATTTATAAAGATAATTAAAATTTTGAAAAAAATTTTTTTTTATTTTTAAATATAATTGAATTCTTTTGACGAATTTGAATAAAATTTTGAAGAATAATTAAATTTTTTGAAGTGTATTAAAAATAATTGAAATTCTGCTATGAGTTTTATTATTATTTATGAAAATAATTGAATTCCTAAAAAAAATTTTATTATTTATGAAAATTATTTAATCCTAAAATGAATTTTAATATTTATGAAAATATGTAATTGAATTATTGCAAAGAATTGTATAAAAAAATGTTAAATAATTGATTATTTTTAATTTACGCAAATTCTATTTTAAATAATTGAATTCCTGTAAAATTATTATTATTTATGAAAATAATTGAATGTTTGCGTAGAATTTTATCAAATTTTCTTTTTAAATAATTGAATTATTTTAGAAAATTTTATTAAAATAGTATAGATATTGAAAATTATTGAATTGAGAAGAATTTTTAAAAATTATTGAAACTTTGCACAGAATTTTATTATTTTTGAAAATAATTGAATTTTGGAGAAGAATTGTGCTATTTATAAAAATAATTAAAATCTTGAGGATGTAAAAAAAAATTTCAAAATAATTGAATTTCAGGGAAGAATTTTATTACTTTTGAAAATATAATTGAATTCTTGTGATGAATATTGTTATTTATGAAAATAATTAAATATTTGCGTAGAATATTATTCATTTTTATTTCAAATAACAAATTCTTTTTGAAAATTTTATTAAAATATGTGAAAATATTAAAAATCATCGAATTGAGAAAAACTTTTGAAAATAATTGAAATTTTGCAAAGAATTTTATTAAAAGTTTTGAAAATAATTGAATTTTGGAGAAGAATTTTGTTACTGATAAAGATAATTTAAATTTTGAGAAGAATTTTTTTAATTTTTAAATATAATTGAATTTCAGCGAAAAATTGTATTACCTACTTTTGCAAATAATTAAATTCTTGTGATGAATATTGTTATTTATGAAAATATTTGAATTTTGCAATGAATTTAATTGAAATTATTCTTGAAAATAATTGAATTTTGCAATGAATTTAATTGAAATTCCTGAAAATAATTGAATTTTGCTATTCTTTTCCATTTTCCATTTTAAACAGATTTATTTACGTTGTAAGTAAGTAAAGAACTACAATTGACTAAAAGTTTTGAAATTGTTTAAAGAACCATTTCATATTATGAAATTTTGTCCTAACTAATTTTGTGTTGTATTGTGTAGTGTTGGTGAATTCTAAATTTTATAAATATATTCTATGTGATTTATTTAGTAAAAATGTGTAAAAAACTAAACAATATTGTGATTTTGAGCATAATTAAATAAGCTTAAAACTAGTTGAATTTTGCTATTCATTTATAAAGATAATTGAAATATTGACAATTTTTTTTAGATTTTTTGTAAATAATTGAATTCTTGTGATGAATGTTGTTATTTATGAAAATAATTGAATTTTGCAAAGAATTTTATTAAAATAACTGAAAATAATTGAATTTACGAAAAGAATTTCGTTATTCATCAAGATAATTGAATTCTTTCGACGAATTGCGTTAAAATTTTTGAAATTAAAATTTTTCAATAAAATTAGTTGAACAGAATTGTTAATTAAAAATATTAAAAATTCAGATTTTCAATGATTTTAATTTGAAACTTTTTGAAAATTCAATTATTTTTCTAAATTACTATTATTTGTAACTTCTCCAAAATTCAAATTTTTTTTACAATTTTTAACTAAAATCGTTCTATATAAATCCATTATTTTTCAAAATTAATTAAATATGCGTTAAAAAATTTAACTTATTTCAGAAGAATTTGAATTATTAAAATTTTTCAGAAGTCTAAGTTCTATAAAATTTCTAATTAAATTAATTTAAAATTGAAATTTTAGAAAATTCCAATTTTTAATTTGATGTTTTAGAAAATTTCAAGTTGATTAATTATGAAGATTGTAAACGCAACTCTTTTAAAATTCAATTAATTTTAAAATTATTCATTAAATAAATTTTTTAAAAGCTTTTTGTTTCCAATTTCAAAGAAATAAGTAAAAATATTTTTGTTTGAGTTCACATGGTTGGATCAAAAATTGTAAAAATTTGAAGTTGCAAAGAAAAATCCTAAAAATGTAAATTTAAATTTACTTTTTTATGTTTAATTGCAGAAGCCTTGTTACTTCAACTCGGTGATGTTGGAAAGAAATTCCAATTAGATCGCGAGGAGTCCGAAGACAGTTTACTTGTAACCGCTCCAATTGCTCAATCATCGTCGCCAATCGCAAGGGTAAGTTTTAAGAGAATAAAATTATTTTTCCAAAATAAAGAAAATTTTCTAAACATGAACATTATTCTATTTTTCAGTCACCCGACAGTAATGGAAATCCATCTTGCATCCCATCATCAGGGGATCCAGAATGGTGCATCACGGTGGAACAATTTTTAGCGTCCGCACTCACTGGACAGTCGATTGTCGATTTTTTCAGTAAACGCATCAATTTAATTGATGCAATACAAGTTCTTCGCAATCGTCGTTTCAACAGTGTTCATTCACTGTCGGAAACATTTAATGTCTGACGTTTATTACACGATGAACCGTATGAATGCACGGCTCATAAAACTGGAGATTAAAAAAAAAACAATCATAATATTTTTACAAACACTAAACACAGAGGAAATATCAATTTACCAACAAAGGGGTTGCAAAAGAAAAAAAATTCTCAAAATAAAAATTTTTATTTGTATATATATAAAAGGAAGGCCTCGATAAAAATTGTGAACTCACTTTATTTTCAATTTTTCTTATTCTATTTTAGATATTAGACTATTTTTAAATGTTCATTTTATAACCTAAAGGATTTTTTTAATAATTTTAACATTTTACTTAGAAAAGCATTTTTTTAAAACTTATATCTTTTTTTGTGCACAATCTAAAAAAAATTATTTGTAAGATCACAATTTTTTTTTCATTAGAAAGAATCGGTGCGGAATCGTTAAAATGTAAAATGAAATTTTACATTTTTTTTCTAATTCACAATTTTTAGTTTTTTTCTTATGGAAAATTGTTTTTTTTAAATGAAATCTTTATTATAAAGAAACATATTAAATTTTATTTTGAAAGTATTTTTCTTATTGTTCGTTTTATGCGACAATATATACATATAGTGTTTTCTTATTGAAACTCTATTTTATATAGATCAATTTTTATTTTTCTAAGAGTTGCGCGTATTTCTATAATACTTCCCGTGCAAAATATTGAAAAAAATTGTATTATACTTGTATATAGAAATAATTAAATTCCTAAACGTTGTTATTGTTTTATTACTTGAAAAAAATAAATAAACGCAGTAAAAAGAACATTTTTGTTTTAATAATTCTCCTTTACTAACTAGACACAAAAATTTAATTTTGTTTTTCCCTGATTTCCAGACAAAATTTAGACTATTTCTCTGATCCTAAAGAATATTTTAATCGACTTAAAAAATGATTAGATACTAGAAAGAATGTTCTATTACATTCATTTACGAATTTCTTTAATTGAAAAATTATTCGAAAACAACAATAACTTCTATTTTAAATAAATATTTAATCATTATCATTTTTCCAAAGGAATCAAAATTTTCAAAACATTCAAATCTTTTGAAATTTAATAACTTATAAGAATTATTATTTTCTACAATTTTTAAATAAAATTCTTTTTTAAATCAATTATATTTAATAATTTTTGATAAAGTTCCTTTGAGAATTTTCAAATTCATTTGTTTGCAATTAAATTTTTTATAAAATTTCGATTATTCGTAAATTATTCTATTTAATGTATTATTAGAAAATAAAAACTTGAAATAAAATAATTTTCAAAAATTTCGATTAAGAATTTTTAATTAAAAGCATAAAAAATTAAGATTTCCAAAGATTTTAACTTGAAACCTTTACAAAATTCAATTATTTCTCTAAATTGCAATTATTAGTAACTTCTCAAAAATTCAATTATTATCTAAAACTTTAACTAAAATTCATTTTTAAATAAATGTTTATTAGAAAATTCTACAAGAATTCAATTATTTAAATACAAACATAGATAATTTGAATATATTAAATAATTGAATGTTTCCTAAAACTGAATTTTTATACATAATTTTATAAACAAATTTTTAAGTAAGTGAATTCTTTCGACGAATTTTAATTACATTTTTTGAGGAATTCGATTAGAATTGTCTTAAAAATAATTGAAATTCTGCAATGAGTTTTATTATTTATGAAAATATAATAATTGAACTAAGTGCAAAGAATTTTATAAAAAAGTTTCAAACAAATGATTTTTTTCGAAAAAGTTTATGCAAATTCTATTTTTAATAATTGAATTCCTGTGAAATTTTTTTTATTTTACCAAAAGTTAAATATTCATGTAAAACTTTGTCAAAATTGTTTTTAAATAATTGAATTCTTTTGGGAATAGATACCTATACAAATTATTTAATTGAGAACAATTATTTAAAAGAATTGAAATTTTATGAATAATTTTGTTATAAAATTTTTAAAAAATAATTGAATTTTATTACTTTTGAAAATAATTGCATTCTTGTGATGAATATTGTTACTTAAAAAAATAATTTAATTTTACAATGAATTATATAAAATTTCTTATGAATATAATTAAACTCCTATGTTAAGAATTTTATTAATTTAATTTCTTGAAAGAATTTTAATATTTGTTAGTCATTCAAAGACTTGCGTTAAAATTAATAATTTTTTCTAGTACTTTTAATAAAAATTGCTGACTAATTATATACTTTCTCTGATTTTTGACAACCCCGTATAAAAATGGAATGATTTATAAATAACATTCCATAAAACATGCTATTTATTAATCAGAAAGACACATGAAATTGTCTGAATCAAAATTCAATAAAACTAATACATATTTCATATAAAAAAATTATTAGCTCTGCTTTCAAATATTAATGTAAAGAACATAGAATTCAAACGTAAAAATATTTGTTGGCCCTGAAAAGGGCCGATTGTTTTGTGTGAGGGTGAGTATGATGGATAATTTAAGCTTTCTTTTCGGTCTTCTTGGGCAAGAGAACAGCTTGAATATTAGGGAGAACACCACCCTGTGCAATGGTGACTCCAGAGAGGAGCTTGTTCAATTCCTCGTCGTTCCTGATGGCGAGTTGGAGATGACGGGGGATGATTCTCGACTTCTTGTTGTCACGAGCTGCGTTTCCGGCCAACTCCAAGACTTCGGCAGCCAAGTATTCCATAACTGCCGCTAGGTAAACTGGTGCACCAGCACCAACTCGCTCGGCGTAGTTTCCTTTACGCAAAAGACGATGAATACGACCGACTGGGAACTGGAGTCCGGCCCGGTTGGAGCGAGTCTTTGACTTTCCCTTGGTTTTGCCACCTTTGCCACGTCCTGACATTTTTGATTTAGTTTTAGGTTAACGAAGTAAACACAACGAAGAATACAAAGCGAATGATGTTCTGCGCCTGAAATCCGCCTATTTACGCTCTCTCCACAGGTCACGCCCACAACTGCGCTCCCCTCTCTTTGTCGTGAGTGGCAGATGGTTGCAGTGAGTCCCCGCACCAATCAAAATGTAGGAGCACAACTGTAAGAGAACGTAAATAGGGCAGTTTCCGCTGCTTAACGTCAATTCGCTTTGTGTTCTCTTCGAGTTCAGACGTTCTTTCTCTGAAAACAACCATGCCTCCTAAAGCAAGTGGTAAAGCCGTGAAGAAAGCCGGCAAGGCTCAAAAGAATATTACCAAGACCGACAAGAAGAAGAAGCGCAAGAGGAAGGAGAGCTATGCCATCTACATCTACAAAGTGTTGAAGCAAGTGCACCCCGACACTGGAGTCTCCAGCAAGGCCATGAGCATCATGAATTCGTTCGTGAACGACATCTTCGAGCGCATCGCTGCCGAATCTTCCCGCTTGGCCCACTACAACAAGAGGTCCACCATCACCTCCCGGGAGATCCAAACTGCCGTCAGGCTTCTCCTTCCTGGTGAACTCGCCAAGCACGCCGTCTCTGAAGGCACCAAGGCTGTCACCAAGTACACCAGCTCCAAGTAAATTCTGTCCACCCTCAACAAAACAATCGGCCCTTTTCAGGGCCAACAAATATTTTTACGAAAGAATTATTTGGTTCTAATTTTTTTTACTGCTGGAATTTAGATATTTGTGTGTAGTATAAGAAGTAACTTTCATGAAGTGACATGTAGAAATTGAGTATTTAATTGTATCTAGTTGAAGACTTTTTTTATATTAGTAATATAGAAACAGTATAAATATTTATGGATATATATCTGCTGACAATAAAGAGCTTTTTTACGTTTACCTTAGTTTTGTCTAAAAAGTAAATGCTAATTTGATGTAGTACTATAGAAGATAATGTTTAAAAAAATACTATAATAAAACAATGCGAGTAAATGAATTGCAATAAACTATATGTGACGCTCCACGAGAAAAGGGACCTTATTTACTCTTGCCATAAGGTCCCTTTTCTCGTGGAGCGTCACATATAGGTAAATATAATTTTATGGATAAAGTTCAATTTAAAAAAAAAGTCAACACTACGCGGTATTCCCAAGCGGTCACCCATCCAAGTACTAACCGCGCTCAATGTCGCTTAACTTTGGTGATCGGACGAGAACCAGTGCTTTACAACATGATGTGAGCGTTAACTGCGAATAGTACTTTTAGAAACGAATCATAAATCTCGCAGTGAACTCATTCTTTTTGATCTAATAAATTTTTTGCATTTGAAAAAAATATTTATTGTTCATAAATTACAGTTTTTGCTTTACAAAGAAAGTTTTTATAAGTTTTATAAGATACGTTTGAATACACAGTTCACTTGGAACTTTAACTTCATTAGATATATAATCTTATTTCTTGTAGTTGTTTGATCTAATAAACATTTCAATGTTCAGTTTTATACCCTGCTTTTAGGGAGAGTTCACAAATGATGTCACGCAATTTGTCGGAACATTAGACCCCCCCCCCCCCCTCCCTGTCACGCAAATTCATGCAATTTCACATGTAAAAATACATTGTTTCAGGTTTAGTAGAGACCCCGCCCCTCCCCCCAAAAACGTCACATCATTTGTGAACGCTCCCTTATCACATATGGGGTAATTAGACAAAAGCACAATTTTTTTAGGAGTAATAATACATGAATAGAGGATATCGTTTGAATTCCAGCTAATTATTAAAAATTAAAAAAGGTTTAAATTTTTTGATGAAATTGTCATTGTAATGCGTGTCAAATAAAGTTTAAATTTACGATCTCATAAATATTCTATACCTTTTGATTTTTCATTTAAGTAAATTTGAGTTTTGTAAATGCATATTTGTCTCACACAATTTGCCAAATGTATTATTTGCGTGAAGTGGACATTTTATGCGGAACAAATAAATTTCTATTTAGCTGTAAGCCAAGTATACATTTTCTGTGCGTGTTTTTATTAAATTTACAATTGTGTTGTACATAAAAAAGTATCATTGTACTGTTTTCATAGATATTTTTATTTTCTTAGTATTTTAATAATAATTTCTATTCGATTCTGGAAAAAAGAAATAAATGAAATTCAATATTTCATTGTTTTTTTTACATTTCAATGGACTGGTTCGCCAACATCATCAAATCACTAATTAGAATAAAGTACATAAGTACATAATTTAAATAAAGAAATAAAACAAGTAAAAGATTAAAATTTTTCTATACAAAATATTTCTCGAGCCCTGGAAAACCTGGAAAAGTTATGGAATTTTATTGAACGAAAATCGTAGCAACCCTGCGTATATATCAATCTTTACTAATGACAGTCTCACAAAGTAATGTTCAAAATTTTGAAAAATATGTTTATTTACTCATCCACTTTCTATAAATCATAAAAAATTAATCAATTACATCTAAAACTTATTACAGTTGTCAACCATTATTTCAGTGATTTAAAAGTTTATAAACAAATTATTATTTGTCTGTTAAAAATTTGAAATATAGTTCCAAGTTTGCCCAAGTTCAGAGAAATCGACGTTCATGTGCAATGGGGCCTTTCTTCACCGTTCGTGCGTTTTACTATATCGTCGCGAACCTGGAAATTTTTTCATTACAGCCTGACTAGTTGCATCGAGTGCATCCTAAAGTTAGTCTTCAATTTATAATCTAAACTAAAAATTCAATTTCAAAATGGCAGAGAAAGCAGAATCCACTGTTGCGCCTGCAGTTGCACCTTCCGAGGGAGCTGCAAAGTCGAAACAGCCTCGTGTGAAGGCCGCTCATCCGCCAGCATCAGAGATGGTCGTTGCAGCCATCACTCATTTGAACGAGAAGGGAGGTTCGTCTCTGCAAGCCATCAAGAAGTTCATTGCCGGCAAGTACGTAGTCGACGTTGAGAGGCAAGCTACTTTCATCAGGAAGTACCTGAAAGCGGCCGTCGCCAACAAGACCCTGATTCAGACCAAGGGAACAGGTGCTGCGGGCTCCTTCAAATTGAACGTCGCCAAGTCTGAGGGAAAAGCTAAGCCGAAAGCACCAAAGGCTAAGAAACCAGCGGTAGCCGAGAAGAAGAAGCCAGCAAAGGTCGCGGCCAAACCGCCAAAGGCCAAATCTACCGCTGCCAAACCCAAAGTTACGAAGGCTTCTCCCAAGAAATCCAAGGCACCTGCAGCTGCCAAGAAAGCTTCTCCGAAGCCCAGGAAGACTGCGGTTAAGAAAGTTGCAAAGCAGTAGATAATGGTAATTCGGAGACATTTTCGCTGCTCGTCTATATCAATCGGCCCTTTTCAGGGCCACCAAACATTTTTACGAAGAAATTTATTTTGTTTCTCTCTTTTTCAACATTTCAGCTATAATAAAAAATATAACGGGTATATCACATGTCTGGCAAAATTCACTGAATTTTGACAGAGTGGACAATTTTTTCATATAAAAAATTCACGGTCATTTACCGCTCTTAATGAATGACTCTCAAAATAAATTATTCAATGAAAGATGAAAATATATATAATTACTGTTGATATATGTGACGCTCCATGAGTAAAGGGACCTTATGACAAGAGAAAATAAGGTCCCTTTTCTCGTGGAGCGTCACATATGTGACTGTCCACGAGAAAACAGGGCTTAGCTCTAAAAAATCAATTTTGAGTTTTTTTGCTAATTGATAGATATTATATTGCTTTTTCAAATGCAAAAATCAAAAGTTGTAAATTGTCAATTACTTTTGACAATACAACGTTTTAAAGATTTTATATTGTATGCATTCCTTCGTTCTGCTTCTACTTCAATCACTCGCCCTGTGAAAGCTAAGCTCTGTTTTCTCGTGGACAGTCACATATGTATAACGAAAGTTTTATGAGTTAAATAATAATGAAATTAATCGAAAAGCTAATCCTTTTTCAATTTATAAATAATGAGCTTTTATAAAATATTCTCTGGACAATTTTTTCTGCAAATTTTAATTTATATCTTTACACAATCTTCATAAAATTGAATACCAAAATGTACAAATTAATATTTTTGGAATACATTTCTGGATTTCGATAAAGGGATTCTTGAGAATGACAGTCTGCATTCATTATTATTATTATCGAATAAACTGATATGATCAGATATTCTGGAACAGAAACCAGCTTCAGACGAAATGTATTGTAGATTGTCTATAATTTCTAAATTTGTATTGGCTATAAAAATAATTAATCTCATAGTAGAAAGCCAGTGCTTCAAATATAGTAATATTTCTAATAAGCAAATAGTGAATAATTATTAGTTACATTCACTTGTACTTTTTGTCAAAGTAATAAATTCTTTTGATTACTAATTGAATGTAATATTGATAAATAACCAGATGCAGTATTGCTACTAACATGTTTTTAATCGATACGAAAAAAGCTTCTTTACAGAACAGTAAGGCATGTTTGTAGAAGAATTAAAAATATTTCAACGTAAGAAAATTTGTTGGCCCTGAAAAGGGCCGATTGTTTTGGGTGATGGAAAGAATTAAGCGCGTTCTCCTCGGATGCGACGGGCCAACTGGATGTCCTTTGGCATGATGGTGACTCTCTTGGCGTGGATGGCGCACAAGTTGGTGTCTTCGAAGAGACCGACGAGGTAGGCCTCGCTGGCCTCCTGGAGGGCCATCACGGCGGAGCTCTGGAAGCGCAGGTCGGTCTTGAAGTCCTGAGCGATTTCACGGACCAAGCGTTGGAAGGGCAGTTTGCGGATGAGGAGCTCGGTGCTCTTCTGGTAGCGACGGATCTCACGGAGAGCGACGGTTCCGGGCCTGTAGCGATGGGGCTTCTTCACTCCACCGGTTGCAGGCGCACTCTTACGAGCGGCCTTGGTGGCGAGTTGCTTCCTTGGTGCTTTACCACCGGTGGATTTGCGCGCGGTTTGCTTAGTACGAGCCATTGCTTAGAAGTTCAGAGTACGAGGGACAACTGAAAAATAATGCTTCCGGCGGCAAAAACACACATATTTATACCCTTCAAAAGCTCTTTCACCGGTTAGTCAAGGAGAAGGGGATACTGACATCCTGATTGGTCGGTCAGATCGTGGAGGGGAGCAGTGGAACTCCAGAGGGAATAAAACTGTGCACTTTCCACTGCTTAGCATCATTCCGAGTTTGTTTTCTGTTCTGTTCGAACGTAAACCTTATTCTCTGTGAAAATGACTGGTCGCGGTAAGGGAGGAAAAGGATTGGGAAAAGGAGGAGCAAAACGCCATCGCAAAGTGTTGCGTGATAACATCCAAGGTATCACCAAGCCCGCCATCCGTCGTTTGGCTCGTCGTGGTGGAGTGAAACGTATCTCAGGATTGATTTACGAAGAGACCCGTGGTGTCTTGAAAGTGTTCCTTGAGAACGTGATCCGTGACGCCGTCACTTACACCGAGCACGCCAAGAGGAAGACCGTCACCGCCATGGACGTCGTCTATGCCCTCAAGCGTCAAGGTCGCACCCTTTATGGTTTCGGCGGTTAATTTTCCCATCATCGTCATCAACAAAAAACAATCGCCCCTTTTCAGGGCCACCAAATAATTTTACGTTGGAATTCTTTTTTTTCCATTCATTGAATATTGACCAATATAATCTTTTATACATGTGTACAGGTCTGTGAAGTTGGCTCCGACATGTCAAAATTTTTTACTTTTCTAAGTAGTATTCGTTTGTCCAAGATAGGTCCACGTTTGTCCAACCATTAATTTTTTTGTCCACCAAAAAAAAGTTTCAAAAAAAAAAAAAAAATTCTAAAATTTTTTTTTTTTTAAATTTTGTTTCTAACTTAGTCTAGGAGGGTGGAATAAATTTTCTAATGGGTGGACAAACGAAATTACAACTTGGACAAACGTCAGAAATAATAAAATCAACATTCCCACCAATTGTTTAAACAATTTTAATAGTTGACGTCTCACAAATGTACATTTTCAACTTTGTTTCTAAAATACAAAAGGTAACCTTTTTGAATTTTTCAAATCCATTTATTTTCAATTCAATTTTACGTGAAATTTCGATTATTCGGAAATTCTCCAATTAAATATACATTAGAAGAAAATTAATTCAATAGAATTTTTAATTACCTAAATATATAAAAAATTCAGATTTTTTAAGATTTTACTTCAAAAGAGTGACAAAATTTAATTATTTTTTTAAAAAATGCAATTAATAGTAACTTCTCCAAAATTCAATTATTAGGTATATAAAACTTGAACTAGAATTAAGTTTTAAATCAATTTTTATTGGATTCAATTATTTAAATACAAACATAAATAATTCATTGAATAATTGAATGTTTCTTAGAATTGAATTCTTATACACATTTTTATCAACAAATTATTATAAATAATTGGATTCTTTCAACGCATTTTAATGAAATTTTTAAAAATAAATACATTTTTCGAAGAATTGGATTCAAATTGTATTAAAAATAATTGAAATTCTTCAATGCATTTTATTATTTTTTAAAATAATTAAATTCTTGTGATGAATACTATTATTTATGAAAGTAATTGAATTCTGGAATGCATTTTATTAAAATTCCTGAAAATAATTAAATTTTTTTGAAGAATTTCGTTATTCATTTATAAAAGTGTTGATGATTTTTTTAGATTTTTTAAAAATAATTGAATTTATTCCAAGAATTTGATTGATTTTGAAAATAATTAAATTCTTATGATAAATCAAATTGCTGTTTATGAAAATAATTGAATTTTACTATGAATTTTATAAAAATTCCTGAATATAATTGAATTTCGGCGAAGAATTATGGGATTTATAAAGATAGTTGAAACGTTAAAAATTTTTTTTTTAATTTTTGAAAATATTTAAATATCTCGAAAGAATTTTAATATTTACTAAAATAGTTAATTTATGTAAAAGAATTGGGTTAAAATTTTCAAAATTTAATTTAATTTCAACAGAATTATTGGAATTAAAATTTTAAAAAAATACTTCATTAAATGATTTATAAGTAATAAATTTATCGCAGTTTTTGAATTGAATTAAGTTATTTAAATAGAAAATAAATTATTGTCAGAAGTTGAAAAAATTTAAGGTTTTTTTAGAATTCATAATTTCATAGTTTTAAGTTTATACGGCAAACAAAAAATACACAAAAAATTAAAATATTCTTATCAATTCAAAACATTTAATTTTTTCCAGTACTTTTAGTAAAAATCCCTAACTTTTCCATGATTTCCCTGACTAATTCTATTTTCCCAGACTTTTTCCTGAATTCCGTGATTGCCTGAAATGTGGCAACCCTGAAGTAAAAATCTCGTTAGTCCACCTACTGGAAAATTAATTCAACTAGTGAAATTGTTTAAACAATTGGTGGGAATGTTGATTTTATTGTTTCTGATGTTTGTCCAAGTTGTAAGTTCGTTTGTCCACCCATTAGAAAATTTATTCCACCCTCCTAGACTAAGTTAGAAACAAAATTTAAAAAAAAAAAAATTTTAGAATTTTTTTTTTTTTTTTTGAAACTTTTTTTTGGTGGACAAAAAAATTAATGGTTGGACAAACGTGGACCTATCTTGGACAAACGAATACTACTTAGAAAAGTAAAAAATTTTGACATGTCGGAGCCAACTTCACAGACCTCATGTGTACAGTATTTCGTAAACGTTTCTTACTTTCACAGTGGTTCTGTGATTGGTTCTACTTTTATTTATGGATCTACGAGAAGTAATTCTTTTGTAGCTGCAGAGTATATATTTTTTTAACTATTTATTTTAATGAGTTCCGGGATCCTTTACTTTATTTTGTCTTTCCCAAATATTCTTTGATACTTTCATTTTCAAAATACTTTTAGAAATTAAAAATTATCTTCATTACGAAAATTAATTATTGTAATGAATTGTTCTATTATAATTTTATTGCTTTGGTTCAATTGAAAATAAGAAATATTGAATTTGGAAGAAATAAGATATTTTTTAAACAAATAGATGGTTCTTAAAGGTTAAATAATTGAAGAGCTACATAAAGTAAGGGGACGAACGCGAGGCTTGGAAGGGATACTACCAGTCGGGTAGCAGTGACAAGCCTTCAGCCGCTCGCTGCTACCTGACTGATATTATCCCTTTCAACCACGCGTTCGTCACGTATTAAGAAATAAAAAATTAGCAATAGAAAAAAATTTCTTCTGAAGCGAGGAAAATTTACTTGAAATTTCGGGATATTTGGAAAATCCACGACAAAAAAAATTAAAAATCACTGATTTCCTTGCCTTAGATCCTCTTACAATTTTTTTAAATGACTTCTCACATTAAAATAAATAATTAGTAAAAGAAAAAATTGCTTATGAGATGAGGAAATAATAATTTTATTGAAATATATGGATTTTTGGAAAATCCGTGTAAAAAATAAAAATTACTAATTTCCCCGACTTCGATTTTTTGAAATTTTTAAAGGGGTTCTAACATTAAAATAAATAATTATCAAAAGAAAAAATTGTCATTGAATAAATGTAGGTAACTTCAGTTTCATAAAATGTCATTAAAATGTTTAAAATACTTGTTTAATTGTGAAAAATTATGAACTAAACTAAATTTTTAAATTTAAAGAGATTTGCTCCTCACCTTTCTTCGGAGCGTATCTCAAATAATCTCACAAATTTTAACTAACTTATTTTATTAACAATTTACTTGAAGGATTCTATATTTTTTGTCGTTATTAGCTAAAAACATATTAAAAAAAATTTATTTTTGGGTCTGGAAAATCTGGAGAAGTCATGGAATTTTAAAATCGATGTTTTGTGACAACCCTGTAGAAGGAAAGAAAGAAAAGAAGAACTCGAAGATTGAATTTTTTGAACTTGATTGCAAGTTTTGAACTGTACTTTGAGAATTTTTAATGTGGATTTGGGGATGAAAATATTGTAGAAAGGGAAAAAGAGGTCGGCTATTTTAGGATTGGTTTAAGATTATAGGAGGTTACAGAATAGAAAAATTAAAAAAAAAATTGGACAAGTGCGAGTTGTACTCGCACTGCAATGGCGGGTTCCGCACACAAATATTAAAACAATACTTGCAACATTGATCGGTAATTGGTAGAATTAAAATAAACGATTATAAAAATATATATTAAAATCATTTGATAAAAAAAAATAACTAAAAAAATTAAAGTATTGTATATATCTAATTTTGTAAACAATAATAAGCAGAGGAACAAAATTTTCAAAATTTATTATAGTTCCTCTGCTTATTATTGTTTACAATATTAGATATACAATACTTTAATTTTTTTTAGTTATTTTTTTTATCAAATGATTTTAATATATTTTTATAATTGTTTATTTTAATTCTACCAATTACCGATCAATGTTGCAAGTATTGTTTTAATATTTGTGTGCGGAACCCGCCATTGCAGTGCGAGTACAACCCGCACTTGTCCAATTTTTTTTTATTTTTAGTTAAGAAATTAAAGTCAGAAAACAATCTCTCATTTATTCTCTTAAAATTTCACTCTCTTCCTTAAAATATTTAATGCCACGTGTTTAAACTAAAAAAAATTAAAAAAATTTTTTTTTTTTGAAAAAAAAAATTAAAAAAAATTTTTTTTTGATTTTTTTTCAAAAAGTTTCTTAAATAAATTTTTTGTCGTCAGACTGTAATAATACACTAGGATACTAATTTTCAGCTCATTAGGTCAAACAATGTAAAAGTTAGGAAAAAAAATTTTTTTTTTTTAAATTTTTTAGTTTTTCCTTGACAACGCTATGGCCATCATTACATATCAAGTTCTCTATATTTTTCCTGTAATATTCGAGTAAAAATACACCAGCATGCAAAATTTCAGCTCTCCATGTCGAATAGTTTAGAAGTTAAGGGGGGGGGGGGAATGGTCACTTTTTATGCATTTTTGGCCAAAAATCTTGTTATTTCCTTGACAACGCTATGCCCATCACGTCCAGTCACATTCGCTATATTTTTCCTGTAATCTACGTGTGAAAATACATATCTGTACCAAATTTGAGCTCTTTAGGTCAAATAGTTTAGCCGCTAGGGGGGGGGACACGATTTGGCTACGGACAACAGAGTCTCACTAATAGGGTTCCGCCGATACACCGTAGGTGTACGGAACCCTAAAAAGCGATGAATCTTTTGATAAACATATTTTTGCGTTCTCCGAGTATTAATTGATACTGAATGGTTATAATTGAAGATAAAACGTTTATTCTACGAATATGCTTTTTATTAGAAAAATTCTTCCTTCCTTCCTACGTTACAGATAATTGAAAATAAATCAAAATTACATCTGTAAAATTCAGTCTACGCCTGGAATTTTTCAGAAACTTGTTCACTTATCCTATGGAGACAATATAATGCTTCTTGGTGAACAGAACATGATACAAAGAAATGTACATGTAAAGAAATATTTTTGTCACATTCAACATAAGGATATAAAAAGATCCTTTTGCATTGTTTACAGAGTCTATGAACGACGAAATTTGAGATTGGAAAAAATTTTAAACTTAAAAAAAATTAATCTCAATTTGGCTAATTGTAATATATAATTCTAAATATTTTTGTTTGAGACAAAGAAAATTCTTTCGTAAAAAGTAATTGGTGGCCCTGAAAAGGGCCGTTTGTTTTCAATCATCCACTATCAATTTCTTTTCACTTTACTTCTTGGCAACCCTCTTTGCCGCGGGCTTCCTCGCTTTGGGTGCAGCTGCTTTCTTGGGCGAAGCTTTGGCCGCCTTCTTGGGAGCAGCCTTGGTCACCTTGGGTTTGGCGGTGGTGGACTTGGCCTTCGGTGGCTTGGCCGCAACCTTCGGGGTCTTCTTCTTCTCGGCGACGGCTTTCTTGGTCTTGCCTGCCACGGCCTTCTTCGGAGAAGCTGCTTTCTTGGCCTTTGGTGCTGCAGCAGCTTTGGGTTTGGCGGCAGTCTTGGTCTTGGCTTTGGCCTTGCCCTCGGCCTTGGCGACGTTCAACTTGAAGGACCCTGCAGCGCCCTTGCCCTTGGTCTGGATCAGAGCCTTGCTGGCGACTGCAGCCTTCAGGTACTTTCTGATGAAGGGAGCCTGCTTCTCGACGTCGACTTTGTAGGTGGCAGCGATGTACTTCTTGATGGCTTGGAGCGAAGAGCCGCCTCTCTCCTTCAAAGTCGCGATGGCCGCGTTCACCATCTCCGACGCTGGCGGGTGACTGGCCTTGGCGCGGGGCTTCTGTACCTTGGCAGCTTTCTTCGGAGTTGCCACTGCAGGTGCGGCTGGGGATTCTACTTTGTCTGCCATTTCGTGGAGATAGTTTTCAAAAAAGTTCAAGTAAACTCAGTGATGCTCTCAACGTGACTTGTGAGACTGAAGTGACCATTTTTCGAAGAGATCCGGGTGTTAGTAAAACGCACGAACGTTGAAGAAAGACCCCGACGCTCGTTGGGCGTCTACCTTTTGAATTTTCGCTAGCTTGCGAACCACATTTAAAATATTTTATATTTTTTAATGATTAAATTATACTTATCGTTTTGATAGTATATTGAATTTCACTTGTACGAATATTGTCTCCCTTGGTTCTTTGAAAATATTCTTTATTTTTGTGGTAGTTTCCTGAAAAATTAAAATTTATCGGCCTTCTGCTATAAGTGAATGGAGAATGCATGTTCTGAAAATTGTTAAAAACATATTAACAAATAGACTTTTTAAAGGTTTGAGTTTTAATATCGACGTTTTAATTATCACTCTTCTGGAGTAGTTTATTTATTTCGTTCGTAAATATAAACTGAAAGCGTTAAAAGCAGTTTAATTTAGGTTTGAGTTCTAACTGTCAATGCAGTTTGGTGGCGAATGGCTGAATGTGTAGTTCAATAATAAAAAATTTATAACAATTTATGATTATCATTATTATATAATTTGATATACTTTTAAAACAATATTTTTCTTTTTCGCAGATATTTTAATTTGCACTATAGACGTAAATATTTCAAATATGTATATATATTCAAGTCATTCAAGATATATCTCTTTCTCTAATATAAGCAGTTTTAGTTAAATTGTATTTAATATTTTTTTAAGAAGTACTTTATGGTATAATACAGGGCTGCCAGCGTACTTAGAGGTTAAAACTAGTGAATAAAGTGAGTTTTTGATTAAAAAAAGTGAGTAAATAGTGAATTTTAATTTTAATTTTTAAAGTAAAATAGTGAGTAAAAAGTGAGATTATTTTTGGCATATTTTCGAAAATTTAAATTAATAATTAACCTGTAATATCAATTTCCTTCTCAATTTAATAAATAATACAAATATTTAATATTTTTACCATCCATTTTAAGGAGAAGCCTGATTGTCTTGATAAATTGTCTTTTACTTATTCAATATATATATAAAATTATTTTAATTGTATAATACCCAGGCTTCTCAGTGCCCCTAAAAAGTATTTTAGGGGAAATAAGGACTTTTATGCGACTATAAAAATATATAATTTATTTATGAGAACACAAACTTTAGTACAATTTTTAAATACTGCTTTAATAAATTTTACTCTCTAAATTTGAATTAGTGAAAATGTTTACTATTTTTAATTATAGTGACTGACTTTTTGCTTTTGAATTAGTAAAGTTTACTAATAAATTAGTAAAATTTACTAATTTAAAAGCAAGAAGTCAGTCACTAATTCAAATTCGTAAATAGTTATACTAATTCAAATTTTTATTTTTAAGTATTTATTTTTTTAAATTAATATTACTATTTTTAATTAAATTATTTTTAAAAATAATTTAGTCTTTTAAAAACAATGTATGTCACAAGTTTGCGCAGATTATAAGAATTTAAAATGAATTGAGACTTGACCTCACCAAAATATTAACCTCACACATTTTATAAATCTTACGAAAAATTTCATCGATCATAAATTTCAAGATTTGAAAGTTTCTACGGCACTTTGCTAAATTAGTGTGAATTCATCTTTAAAAGATAAAAGAGAAAAATATGGGGAATTTTTAATATGGGTTTTAAAATTAAAAAAGGGGGACTTTTAAGGAAATAGGGGACAGACTGTGATTACAAGAAGTAAAGATTTCAGCTCCAGTAATTTACAGAGAAGCTATTTTTTAACTCTTGCTTTGTAAATTGATGTGTAAAAAAATTTCATTGTTTATAGCTATATAATATATTTAAAAAAAGTCACCTATTGCATTGATTGAATAAAGTTTCTAATTTAGAACAAGAGAATCTTTATTTTGAACTTACATTACCTTATTCAATGTTTTATAAAAATAGGAATTTACTAAAAATTAATAGACCTAGAAATTTATGGAAGAACATGAACATACTCAGATCTTATCTGTAAATCAAAGAGGCAGGTGAAATAGATTACACAGCTAAATATAACTTGCTACTAATTAAAAAAATATGTTTTTGTAAACAACATCGAATTCAAACGTACAAATATTTGTTGGCCCTGAAAAGGGCCGATTGTTTTGTGAGGGTGAGTGGAAAATTTAAGCTTTCTTTTCGGTTTTCTTGGGTAAAAGAACAGCTTGGATATTGGGGAGAACACCACCCTGGGCGATGGTGACTCCAGAGAGGAGCTTGTTCAATTCCTCGTCGTTCCTGATAGCGAGTTGGAGATGACGGGGAATGATTCTCGACTTCTTGTTGTCACGAGCTGCGTTTCCGGCCAACTCCAAGACTTCGGCAGCCAAGTATTCCATTACTGCGGCTAGGTACACTGGAGCACCAGCACCAACACGCTCGGCGTAGTTTCCTTTGCGCAAAAGACGATGGATACGACCGACTGGGAACTGGAGTCCGGCCCGGTTGGAGCGGGTCTTTGACTTTCCCTTGGTTTTGCCACCTTTGCCACGTCCTGACATTTTCGATTTAGTTTTAGGTTAACGAAGTACAAACAACGAAGAATACAAAGCGAATGATGTTCTGCGCCTGAAATCCGCCTATTTACGCTCTCTCCACAGGTCACGCCCACAAGTACGCTCCCCTCTCTTTGTCGTGAGTGGCAGATGGTTGCAGTGAGTCCCCGCACCAATCAAAATGTAGGAGCACAACTGTAAGAGAACGTAAATAGGGCAGTTTCCGCTGCTTAACGTCAATTCGCTTTGTGTTCTCTTCGAGTTCAGACGTTCTTTCTCTGAAAACAACCATGCCTCCTAAAGCAAGTGGCAAAGCCGTGAAGAAAGCCGGCAAGGCTCAAAAAAATATTACCAAGACCGACAAGAAGAAGAAGCGCAAGAGGAAGGAGAGCTATGCCATCTACATCTACAAAGTGTTGAAGCAAGTGCACCCCGACACTGGAGTCTCCAGCAAGGCCATGAGCATCATGAATTCGTTCGTGAACGACATCTTCGAGCGCATCGCTGCCGAATCTTCCCGCTTGGCCCACTACAACAAGAGGTCCACCATCACCTCCCGGGAGATCCAAACTGCCGTCAGGCTTCTCCTTCCTGGTGAACTCGCCAAGCACGCCGTCTCTGAAGGCACCAAGGCTGTCACCAAGTACACCAGCTCCAAGTAAATTCTGTCCACCCTCAACAAAACAATCGGCCCTTTTCAGGGCCAACAAATATTTTTACGAAAGAATTATTTGGTTCTATAACAACAATGTGTATGCAAAGTGTTCTCATTTTTCTCTAACAGATAACCCTAAGTTATCTCATTTTGTCATACAATTGTAAAATTTTTGCTGGCACACTAGGACGCGAAATGTACCTTGATTTTACGACTCTTATTTTATATGAAATAATTAGTTGAAAAATTTAGGAAATACCATTTCCGAAGTAAAATTTATCGCTCTTTCGGAATATGAAGCTGAAATTTATTTATAATTATGTATCTAAAAGAAATTTATAACAATTTTACTGCAAAAGAAAACACTTTTTTACGAAAAAAAAATTTTTTCAATTAATATTTTGACATGGTAAACTAAAAAATATGGTCTCAAAAGCCCAAAATATCGCGTCCTCGAACCCTCAGCTATAAAAATCCACAATGACTTTTTAAAATTCAAGATGGCGGTTATGAAAATGACCATTTTTCCAATTTCTTTGTGATAAAAGTCAAGTGACCATATGCAGTTAGACCGTCAAGATGCGTCTATAGTTGTGGCAATCACTGGACACAAGATTATGGATAATTTTCATTTCTCAATAACAATATTGTTCACAATTTCATTCTTTTCTTTTGGAAAAAAAATTACCTATACGTATTTCCGTTTCTTAATATTTTTGTAAAATTTTGCATCATTTCTATTTTTTAAAAACAATTTCTTTAATAAAATTTAAAGTTTTTTGAAAATAAAGAAAAAAAATGTTTATAAATTATATTTTTTAATTGAAAATGAAATTGAAAATTTATAAATTTTTAGAAAATATAGGAAAAAATTTTACTAAATAAGAAATGTTCTGTTACATTTATATTTACGAATTTCTTTAATTGTAAAATTATTCGAAAACATCAATAACTTCTTTTTTAAAAATATTTTATTATTATTTTTTTTATGTCAAATTATCATTATTTTATATTAAGAATATATTGTTTTTGTAACTTTTTAACAATTATTTTTAACATCATTTTTGAAAAAGTTCTTTGAGAATTTTCAAATTTATTGTTTACAATTCAATAAATTTAACGAAATTTCGATTTTTCGGAAATTCTTCAATTAGAAAATAAAAACTTTAATTGATTAGAAAAAATACAATTAAACTTTTTTATAAGAATTAATTCTACAGAATTATTAGTTAAAAGTAAGTATGAAAAAATCAAATTTTCAAAGATTTTAATTTGAAATCTTTTCAAAATTGTAAATAATATATGTATTGAATAATTGAATGTTTCTGAATTCTCATAAGGAATTTTATTAACAAACTTTTAAATAATTGAATTCTTTTGACGAATTTCTATAATTTCTATATATAATTTTTAAGAATTATTACATTTTTCGAGGACTTTGATTAAAATTATACTAAAAATAATTGAAATTCTGCGATGAACTTCATTATTTATGAAAATAATTGAATTTCTAAAACAAATTTATTATTCATAAAAATAATTGAATTCATAAAAAAATTATTATTTATGAAATTAATTGAATTATTGAAAAGAAATTTACAAACAAAAATTTGTTAATAATTGAATTCCTGTGCAATTTTATATTATTTATGAAAATAATTTGTAAATGTTTGAGTTCAATTTTATTAAAAAAATTGAATTCTTTTAGGAAATTTATTAAAATAGTAGATATTGAAAATCATTGAAATCAGAATTTTTTTTAAAAATAATTGAATTTTGGAGAAGAATTTTGTCATTTATAAAGATAATTGTGATTTTGACGATATTTTTTTAAAATTTTGAACACAATATTGAACTATTGTAAGAAGAATTTTATTACTTTTGAAAATAATTGTATTGAATTTCTGCAATAATTTGTAACTTCTCTAAAATTCAATTCTTTAAAATGTTTTTATTTAAAATCGGTTAAGATTTCATATTTTTATTTTTGCATCAATTTTATTTATCTATGTTAATGACTATGAATACATCCATGTCTTGTAAAATTTTATATGATTTCTGGTTTTTGATGATAATTCTGAATTTATTTTTTTTTTACATTTAACATTTCATTGAAAATTTGAAAAGAATTATATTATAAAGTTTCGCCAAACATGTAATTTTTATTATCTGTTAATAATGAGGGATCGATATGTACTGTACAATTATCAATTATCTATTTTCATAATTTTACTTCATTCTTTTTTGTCAATGATAACGATGTATCTTAACAAAATCTAACTTTTAATAATTTCTAACTTTTTGTTAATATCAGAAATTGCTTCTTGTATATCTAAATCGGCTCCATTTATAATTGCTTCCATAACCCTGTCGAATCGTTTTTCCATTTCTTTATCCAACATATTATTAACAAATTCAATTAATTTCATTATTTCGATCAAACGAAAATTCTCAACTTCATATTTAATACTGTCATCAATCGCTTTCATAATTTCTATCTTTTTGTATACATCATTTCCTTCATTCTTTGCATCGGACACTATATTTCCCATTTCAACTAATTTTCTTTCCATTGTTCTTAATTCATTATCTTTATTATATTTTTGTTTAAACGCAGCTCTCATGTTATTCACTTTCTTCATGAATACTCCAGTAAGGAATCGATATGATACAGAAATTGCTTCTGACAATTTGAATTTTTGCAGACAAAGTTTTGATTCTTCGGAAATATTGTGTCGCAATTTTCCGAGAGCACTACTTTCAATGCTTTTCGAATTTTCAATAGCTGAAATGATATTAAAGTCGGCATCACTTGTAATAAGACCGTGTACAATTTTTTTGAATAATCCAATTTGCTGGTTATTGTCTACTAAGTATTGGACAAATTTCTTTACAATTTGGGGCACTTCCTGATGTTTGTTGAGTAAGAATTTGTTTGTTAACATTGTATTTAGGTAGTTCATGTCGAATGAAGATTTTCGCACTTCAGCAGGTACTTTAGTGAAAATTACAGATAGTCCGGATAAGAATTCTTCTACGTGATTTCCGAAATATTTTTCAACATTTATCGTGAGAAGCTTAACGAGCGGTTCGATATTAGCCTGAAGGAGGTCATTAAAGTCTATGACTAAAATAACTTTTAGAGACTTAACGTATTTCGCCAACTGATGGAAGTCGAAGACACTGGTGACCTCTTGAAGTACTGCATTGTCATCGCCAAATCCGGGATAGTCCCAGAGAGTCAAATTGGGTAATTTCGAGGAAGTCCATCTTGTCGGAACTGCGGTTTTGGTGGATTCGCCAGCTACTCTTGGCCCTTTGGACTCACTGTAGACTCTTGCTAATGTCACTGGATCGAAAAGCGAACGTCGTTCAGTCTTCAGTTGATTGCCGATCAGGTAGTTAATTAGTGTGCTCTTGCCAGCTCCTTTGGCGCCAATGAAAATTGCCACGTTCTCATCTCCAACTTTATCCCGCATGTATTCCACCGATTGGGAGAGGGATGCTCCCAGCTCCTTGAATTCATTCTCAGTGCAGGTACTTTGTGCGCCAGTGACTAGTGAAATTAGTCCACAGATGATTGCTGTTCTGATCATGATTGATCAAGATTATAATTTCCAAACTGAAGAATCAAGCAGTGTGTTTGAAACTTATTCTTAATTTTTTCTGCAGAAACAAAAAAATTACCTTTTATCATTAATGTTCTTATGAATACAAATCAAACAAATAAAATGAAAAGTTTATAATTACCTGTACAGAATTATTTGGCTTTTTAATAAACTTTTAATAAAAGTTTTTCGATGTAAATCAAAGTGAGAAAAAGCACCCTCTGCAGTCACTGTGGATGTGAAAAAAAAGTTGCTCTACTTATAGTAATAAGTACTATTTACCGAATAGATCAAATAGAAGAATTTCCAAGTAGTTGATTATTTATTTTTACTTTGAAAATTGATAATTCGACAAGAGTAAATATTTTTTGACTGATATTTTAACGTTAGCAATGACGTATTTTACTAAAATTCTGCTGCGTCTATTTTTCTTTAATTCAAATAAAACCAATAATTTAAAATTTAAATATTCACATTGAATACAATATTATCTATCGATTCTGTATTCCAAATCGAGAATAAAAATGTTTTACAATTACGTTGCAGGAAGTATAAAATTGTTTTTATTTGATACATCTATAATTCATTAAAAATACATAATATCACAAATTGTTATGGAAATCTAAAAATGAATCTTTAAATATTTAATTAATGCTTAATTAAATATTGAAACTTCATATAGTGCAATATAAAAGGTTCTTAGGGGCTGTCCATAAATTACGTAACACGTTTAGGGGGGAGGGGGGGTTCGAGAAAATGTTATCATATGTTACATGGGAGGGGGGGGCAAT